TTCTTCGTAAAAAGTTGCCCATATAATGTTTTATTTATAATACTCCATCTTTGATAATAAGTGAGATATTCGCGATTGTCGTTTTCGCAACATTTGCAGTTTTTGCCGATAGGGCGAAAACAAAAGATGATAGCTGTTCGGAGTTTTCGGCATTAGTATTTTTTCGAAAAACGAGGTCATAACATGCCAGCTACTTTTTTTCTATCTCTTTTAGTTTTGGAGATAGCCTATGCGGACATCGAAATTGGGACACCCTGTACAGGGTGGGCAAATTTAAAATTATAGTAGGCGAGGAAAACGTTAAAGGACACTTAGTTACTATAGTAACGTTAGTTACTATAGTAACTAACGTTATAACATATCCCATATAAACATCGTTTCAATGGAAAGTCTGCTGCCCAGTTTATGATCCCTAATCTTCCTCTATCCCACCCAATTTCAAAAGAAACGGTTGCTAATATGAAAAAACTTCTAAATCTCATGGTTGGGGAAAACTGGGAAGATACTACCGAAGATTTCATTCATTGATACCCAACTGTTCTAACCTTACAACCAGTAAGTTTAGTAGAAGAAGATGATATAGTCTGTGACTGTTTAGTTCCTGAAGTTGTTCATGTTTAATTATTCATTAATTAATAGCTTTCTTGTATTTTTAATAAACAAACTTTATCTACAAATCATTTTTATTGGTGAACAAAGTCAGGGATAAGACACTGAAAAATTTAAATCAACTATTCAAAGTTTTTATTCGTTGGTACAAAACCAAGTTTATCCTGCATAATGGTACAAGACCAACTTTCTGTCATATTTGAGCAAAACCATATTCGAGCAATTAGGTAGTAATTACTGTCCGAACCCGCCTACTATCAAAATTTTGAACTTTAGCGCTTACTATTTTGGAATTGAAAATTAACACTTATTTTCCGCAAATACACCATACATCCGATACATCATTGGAAAGCTAAAAATATGCTCTTTTCATTAACATCATANCTAATTATGAGCAAGCAATTATTAAGAATTGCAATTAATTTTGATTTATTAAGAATCAATTCTTAATAAAAAGTAAGCAACCATTCAGGACGTTTTTGACGTACTCAAGATCGTTGTCTCTGAATTAAATATAATTAAAACAAAAACAAGCGAAATAGCAGAACTTTAGCAGGAAGTTACAAATCTAAAGGAGGAGAATGATGTTCTGAAGACCAAAATCAAATCACTGGAGAGGAGTGCCAGGGAAAATAATTTAATCTTTTTTAATGTTCTCGATTCTAATGATGATGCAGCCAGTTTAGTAAAAGCGATTTGTCGTGATACGTTGGTGGTAGACGCTACTGATAAAGAGCAAGCCCATCGTTGTAAGACCGATCTCGTGGTACCTCTTCGGAATGAAGTTCTTAAGAACGCGTACAAACTCAAAGGTAATACAGACAGGGTAGTTCTGGATAGAGACCTAACCCCAGATCGTGCAGAGACGAATATCATACTTAAGACCATAGTTTCGCCAAGCTATACAGGGTAATTCAAATTCGATCCCCACCATTGGGATCTCAGAAACCATAAGATAAAGAGATAAATAACCAATGATCATATTGATACCTATGGCTTGCTGCGCAGGTGCAAGATGTCAAATTTGCAGTTGCAGTAGTTTATAGACCTCCCAGGGGGACCTTTGAAATAATTTTGGATGAGTTCGAGACTTGCATCACCAATATAAGCCTTGATTATGACTACTTTGTAAGTTTGTAAGTTTGATGAGGGGCGGTTTTTGAGTAACTTGTACTCAATCCCCTGGTATATGATGTATGACATGTGCTCGGTGGATGAAAAATTGTATTTTCTTAACTGTAATCTGTTATCGTTGTTTGATAAGCATGCACCGTTGAAGGAGTTCTTCATTTCAAGAAAACGGTCATCACCTTGGCTCACATACAATATAAGATATATAATGCGCTTGCGAGATTCTGCTTTGAAGAGATATCGTGTTATGCGTAATGAGACTGCTCATGATTACTACAGAACTCTTCGCAATAAAACAAATAGAGCAATATTGAGGGAGAAGAAGGCTCTTCCCGATGTGATAGGACCCTGTAATTACCATCTATATGCTGACGACACCCAAGTGTACCTATCTTTTCACCCATCAAACATCGAGAACGCCGAGAAAACATTTAATACGGTGTTTACCCGTATTACAAGCTATTCTGGACTATTACATTTAAAGTTGAATCCGGTATATCAGTATTGAAATTTTGGGCATGTCGATTCAGTTGGCTGCTTGTCTTCACCTTCACATGGACGTTGACCTTCGGTTTGAACATAATACGTCTTGCCTCTTAAACAAGGCGTTCAATGCTTTGAGGCATATCTACCATAATAGACATGTTTTGGATCGAGATTGCAGAAGAATGCTGGGAGTCGTTGGTGTTCAGCAATCTGAATTTTGCCGATGTGGTTTATGACGGGTTCCTGAGAGCGAATGATTGTTATAGAATCCAGAAAATATAGAAATGTTGTTTCCGTTTAATATATCGTGTCAGAAGAGGTGAAAGGGTGTCCTGGGTCCGAATCATTCATCGATGGCAGTCCATGGAACAACGTCGCCATCTCCATATGCTGTGTTCTTTTATCGGATCCTCAAGAGTTGTATCCCGGTGTACTTATATGAACAGTTACAACTGAGAAGAGAAGCACATGAAGTTAACATCCGTAGCCGTAACCTTCTTGTTATACCACATCATAATTCTCAGCAATTTTTCATACAGAGTGGTGGTTTGCCTAAATCCGTTGATTTCGAGGTATGGTTTTGAGATGAATGATCGGTTTATTCGGGGACAAGTGATTCGCGAAACTATGGGCAATTGAAATTATAAACAATTATAGATAATAGCTAATTTTTTTCTTTCTGTCTCAAGTTCTGTTAGTAATGAATGTGCTGATGAATTACAAGCGAAGAGAAGAAAACTAGAAGAAACTGCAACAAGAGATTTAATTCATATATCGTATTGGGATTGTTACCATGAGGTTTCTAATGACAAAGCTGAAATAAATAAAGTTGAATTAAATGGAAAAAGTCCGATTGGAGTTGAATTTTATTATTATTTACAGTGTCCAATACCTAAAAAAGACACTAATTGCTGTGAATAGGGGAGTACTAAGCAATAAGTGTTTAATATCCGGCCAAAGCCGGATATTTGGTAACTATCGGGAGTCCGGCCGAATTTTAAAAAATGGCCGGATAGGCCGGAAACCGGACAGTTGCCGGATATCCGTTCCACCACTAATTAGTATCAGCCAAAAACACATGAAACTATAATATTACCAAAACTTCCTTAAAAATGAATTCGACGTACTTGAAATACGCTAAACATACGAATATTTATCAACAAATCAGGTATGCAGAAAGTTTAATATTTATGTTTTGGCACCATTGATACAGCAGAGTACCATCTGCTTTTTGACAAGGAAAGTATTTTGTTGTTGTTTTGTCACTTCTTTTTACATCACTTGTACTTAACGGTATGCATGTTAGTTTTGATTCATTAATTTTATATTTTTCAATTACTCGCTCGCTTAAGTCAATCTGATGTAACTTTCGTTCCTTATTTTTTATTTTGTCAATTTTGACCTTTTCTTGGTCAAAACTGTTTGGCTTTTTCCACTATTATGTTATAAAAGATTCATTTAGTTTTGTTATTATTCCGCATTTTTTCCGATTTTTTATTAATATCATAAAAACTAATTGATCGATATTTGATTGTGGGATATCATTGGATTCTTTTTTTTTAGTTCTATTAGAAAATGTTATAATATATGCATAGCGTTTCATTAAAAAAAACAAAGGTGGCCCATTTCTCTAAAAAAAGTGATAAACAATTTTTTATGCTAAATTATTTGGATTAACAAGAAATAAAAATCAATGTGTTTCAGCTCATGACAATATAGAGGTGAGGGAAATGTCTTTCGTGGTTACGAAAAATTGCGCGTAACAATGATGCTATCAGCAACTGGTGATGGGGAAAAATTACCACCATTATTAATATTGAGAAGAAAACCATTCCGAAATTCGAAGGAAGTCTTAAGTTAGGGCGCAACAAAAAGGATGGATGACGTGACGGAAGAGCTGAAATGTATTTATATTGTTTTTCAGCGACATTCAAAATGCGTACCTTTTCAGTTGAAGAGTTATGTAAGGACATTAACATAAAAATTTCAAAGATTATCAAATTTTTGCAGGGGGTAATACCAAATTTTACAACAGTGAAATTCAACAATTATCTTTTTTACTAATGCTAATGACAGAAAATAATGAAACACTGATCATACATTAAATTTTGAACGCATATTTTTCAAATATACCTATACTTACATCAATTTGACAAAGTATACTAATTGTAAATACATGTTTTGATCAGAATCTCTTACATTTTCTTAGAGCAACACTGGTTTCGTAAATTCCTGCAGTTTACTAGAGCTACTGCCATTACTAAAATTGTTGTTTGTATAAATCAGAATAAGTTGTAAGTCAAAAAGGAGCTGGAAAACAAATCTTCATATATGTATAAGGTATAGTAATGTTTTGAACACTAAAATAAGTTGTAAATTAAGAACACAAAAAAACAAAACATTATTTTGCCAAATTGTTTCATATTGACCCAAAAGCATATTCAGTAAACGATTTCATTCCATCGTTTACTTACAACATTCATAATCGCTAAATATTCGCATATTGATTTTGACAAACAGTGATAGTAAACATCACGATTGTCTTTGAATTTGAAGGTGAAGATGACATATATAATTTGATAGCTAAGAAATTTACCATCTCGCTCTCACATATAAATGAAAGTGATTTATTTTAGATAACAACCTTTGTCCCTCATAAATTTTTATAATAAATTGGACACTATCATAAAATCGTTTGATATAACCACTTTAGTATATTTAAATTTGCTAGCTAGAATAAAAATGTGTTAAATAGGTTAAATGAAAAAATAAAATCTTTAGCACATAGATTATTATATAATAAAATTTTACATAACACTTAAAAATAACAAATTTAGACTCTTACAGTTAAAATAGCTTCGATTGTTGTGTAATTGTAAATTAACAATAAAATATATTCAGTCTGCTTAAATTACATTGTAAAATTGAACGATCTTAAAGAATCATATTAAGCAAAACGTTTACTTATAGATTATAATATTGTATAACGATGAAAGTTTTATATCAAATAGATATTATAAAAAATATTGGAGTTAAAAGCGATTATGATTATATATAGATTTATAAAAAAACATTTTGTACAATATTGTCAGAGAATGTGTGTAAACGAGCACATTATACGGAATATATATCGTTAAAATATCATTGATTATTCTCCAATTAACGCCAACAAACACTTTTTGTAATCTCCAGATGTATCGCCCTAAAAAAAATAAAAAGTAAATTAACATATTTTTTCTGTTATTTTATTATTTTACTGTTAATAATTAATTAAAAATTAATTTGATGAATAACACATTTACATTAACCGAGAAAGTATCGTGTAAATAATACAAACATACTTAATTTTAATCAAATTATGAGGAAGCATGCAATGTCTATTTTAATCTTGATCAGACACGAAAATAATACGAAAAGAAAAAAAAAGTACAATTAGAGAAAAAAATAGAAAGGAGACTCAAATATAACTAAATCTTCTGATCACTATCAACCTATTTTTACAAAAATCAAGTCGCAGTTTGACTTCTTGGAAATATATTTAAATTGTTTGATAATATAAATCATTAAATTAGGATCCCACTTAGTAAATAATGTAATGTAATCTAGAAGTTTATCCACAACTGAAAAAATTAACCACTTGAAACGTTACTTGGACAAAATAAAGGAATATCTCAGATGGCAGCTGGAAGACTGCAAAGGTGGGCATTATTTCTAAGTGGATTTAAGTATAAATTAGAATATACCGAAGGAGCCCAACATTTATTAGCGGATGGATTATCGAGACTACCATTAAATCAAAAAATTGAGGAGAAAAGTTTGACTATTTCAACTTTTTGGTAGCTGAAAACTTACCCGTAAATAACTTTAATGTCAATTCAGAAATTATTTCTGAATTAAAGATAGGCAAAGTTTTAACTAAAGTGGTAATGAATGTTAGATCTGGGCGGCCGCAAATAACAGAGGAAGAATTAAAACCGGTTGCAACAAAAAAACATGAAACCAACTTTTTAAGAAGCAGATGTTTGAAGAGCTACACGTGGCACACACTTAAATGTCAAAAATGAAAACATTGGTGAGAGCATATTTTTGGTGGCTAAACATAGACAAAGACATAGAAAGTTACGTTAAAAATTTGCGGAAACAAATTCACATTGATTTTATGGTACCTTTTTAAATGTAAGATATTTTTGGTAATAGCCAATTCTTATTCTAAGTGGCCTGAAATTTATTTGATGAACAAAATTGATTCAGAGAGCATTATAAAAATTAGAAGTTAAAAGATTGCTTTTTGTGATTTCGGTTACCTAATAAAATAATTAGCGATAGCGGAACTCAGTTTATACGAAGAAATTCCAAAAGTTAGAGAGACAAATTCAATACTTTAAGGGGAACAGAGACGTGTAGATCCAAGAGGGAGAAATTGTATATGTCAAAGATAACAGAAATGCCAGTAAGAGAAGATGGGCTAAGGCAAAAATAATAAAGATGTAAGGTATGCGTACATACTTATTCCAAGTTTGGGAAGATACAAGTGTACACTGAAAAAAACTTGTGCAAATAGGAACATTTTATAATGATTATGACAATAAATTAAAAACGATTTTTCAAACACAGCAAAACAAACCGACTGGAAAGGAAGTAACTCAACTAGTATTTGCCGTGGACATACAAAAGGAAAAAGAAGAAATATTGGAAGAAAAAAGAAATGAAAGCAAAACAAAATACCAGGCGAAAAAGAAACAATTTACAGGTGTTCCTGTAAGTCGTGGAATAATTTTAATCACATCTTACGATCGTTTTCTCTGCTAAAATTACAATTAATGTTAATTGCACATCATTGGGTTCAGAAAAAAATCTCTATTCAATAACGTGAAGAAAAACATACCGAGCAATTTGAAAATCAAAAGTTGATAATCGCTTGAAATTGAAGATGGCATTGGAAAAAGCTTATTTGTAGCATGAATCATAGCATTCGTCAAACCATTTCATTTGATACCTCGTTCATGAAAATCAGAAGGTAAATGACAGAGTTACTGCTTGCGGCGTTCTTGTGTGACATCCTGTATATACAGGTGCTTTTTCTCTGCTAAAATTACATTCAAAATGGATGTATTGTACATCAATGGATTCAGAAAAAGAATCTCTATCCAATGACGTGAAGAAAAATATATGGAACAACTTGAAAAACAAAAGTTAATAATCGTTTAAAATTGAAGATGTCATTGGAAAAAAATTATTTGTAGCATGAATCATAGTATTTATCAAACCATTTCATTTGATACCTCGCTCATGAAAATCGGAATGTAAATGACAGAGTTACAGCTCGCGTTTTTTGTGTGACACCCTGTATATGGGAATTTTATCACAAAAAATCGTTTAACATCACATTTGAAAATATGCAACACGGCATCAATTCTATCATATACTTAAATTTTACAACTGATTCTAAAAGCCTATTTAAGCCTAGTTAAAAAGATACAACCTCAATTATAAATGTTTTCATCAATCGTAGGTGTCTATGAAAATAAATTGTAACTGGAGCAGTAAAGCAACTGTCAAATCATTACCCAACATTCGTCAGTCGGTAATAGTTGTTTAAAATGACAAATAATTACAGTTTTAGTAAGCAAACTGCATTGCTTTTAACGTTGGGAGAGTGTTTACGCAATGCTAATGCAGTGGTGAGATGATATTGCAAATACCTGATGGTAGCTGTTGATATCAACACTTCAGACATTTCGGAATATCTAAAAGTACGGCTTGCCGTGTGCCACACGAACAGCTATTGTATCCATACCACTTGTCGACAGTGCAAGAATTAAAAATTGCTGATCATCCGTTGCGAGTACAGTTTTGCCATGCTATGATGGAAAAATATACTATTGATGCTGCGTGTGTAGAAAAATTACTTTTTATTAATGACCTTTAATTTGACAAATTGCTTTACTGCTTTGCTTACATTTATTTTCATGGGCGCCTACGATTAATGACAATATTTCGTGGACGAGGTTGTAACTTTTTGTGAATAACTCTAAAACGATGCGACTAATCAAAATTTTCTAAAATTGAAAATAATTTTAAAATAGGCTTTAAGAATCAGTTGGAAATTTTAAGGATTTACGACATAATAAAAAAGTGTTAAGGAAATAACCTTTGTGGACACCTGTATAGCATTGATCCCGTGGTTGCATACTTTCTCAAATGATCTTAAACGATTTTTCATAATAAAATTGCATTGTTTACCAAATTTTATCTTTCTAAGAGAAACAATATTGAAAATATTTAAGAAAATGTTTAAAAATTACTTAACTTTGAAAGCCCATGTCTTAGCCATTTATGGGTTTAGACCAAAAACTTATACACAAATCGTCATCATTTTAACTCTACTATTTGTGATTTAAATTATGCCACGACTTACAGAAACACACTGTATAAACAAAACACAAGGAATAGATATTTACATAACCAGTTATGAAAAGACTAATTTTAAAAGCAAATTACGTGAATTAAACAAAATTAGGCGTTTCATAACGTATTAAGTACAAAATTTTATCTAATTCCATTGAAAAAGCAATTTTTGTTCAAAAGTTGACTTATTCTATTAGTGATAGATGTCAATTTATCAATTTGTAGTTAGGTAATGGAATTCATTACATCACTAGTTATAAAAAAGTGACGTTACATACACGTCAGAAAGAAATGTAATAGTTATTTACGTAACCAGTTATGAAAAGACTAATTTTGTTTGACGAACGTAATTGTTAAAACGAGCGAGCGAAGCGAGCCAGTTTTGCAAATTACGTGAGTTATACAAAATTAGCGGTTTCATAACGTGTTAAGTACAAAATTTTATCTAATTCCATTGAAAAAGCAATTTTTGTTCAAAACTTGACTTATTCTATTAGTGACAGATGTCAATTTATCAATTTGTAGTTAGGTAATGGAATTCATTACACCACTAGTGATGTAATGAAATCATTACATCACTAGTTATAAAAAAAGTGACGTTACAAAACGTCAGATAGACATGTAAAATTTAATTTTCATAACGGAATTAGATAACATTTAATTTTCATAATGGAATTAGCAAATAGTATATTAAAAAACTAGTTTCGTAAGACACGCTTGAAATCAATTTTGACAATGTAGGGAAATAGGTATGTCGCAGTTGGTAACACCGTAACACTTGAAAATAGAAATTTGAATTGACAATTAGAAATTGTCAAAACACAAAATATATTCACCTGAAAAAAATGTTTCATATACACCTCCTAAAATAAGAGAAATTGCTTAGAGTTCAATGTTCTCATCATTGTGGACCTTGTATTCGATGAAAAGTAATGACCCAATGTCACCAACTTGAACTGGTTCCATAAAATGTTACTAAAATCTCATTACAGCATTGGATGCGGTAAGGAGTCTCATTACAGCACCCGTTTGAGTACTGTAATAGCTCATTACCGTCGCAAATTACAAAAAAGAAACTTATAAAATATCTCATTCATCAATCTTAATTTTTANGGAAAGGAAGTAACTCAACTAGTATTTGCCGCGGACATACAAAAGGAAAAAGAAGAAATATTGGAAGAAAAAAGAAATGGAAGCAAAAAAAATACCAGGCGAAAAAGAAACAATTTACAGGTGTTCCTGTAAGTCGTGGAATAATTTTAATCACAAATACTAGAGTTAAAATGATGATGGTTCGTATACAAATTTTTGGTCTAAACTCATAAATGGCTAAGATATGGGCTTTCAAAGTTAAGAAATTTTTAAACATTTTCTTAAATATTTTCAATATGGCTTCTCTTAGAAAGATAAAATTTGGTAAACAGTGCAATTTGATCACGAAAAATCGTTTAAGATCACATTTGAAAACATGCAACCACGGGATCAATGCTATACAGGTGTTCTCAAAGGTTATATATTTAAAACTTTTTTATTATGTCATAAACCCTTAAATTTTACAACTGATTCTAAAAGCCTATTTAAGCCTAGTTAAAAAGATACAACCTCGATTATAAAATGTTTTCATTAATCGTCAAACCATTACCCAACATTCGTCAGTCGGTAATAGTTGTTTAAAATGACAAATAAAATAAAAAATGCTTTTAACGTTGGGAGAGTGTTTGCGCAATGTTAATGCAGTGGTGAGATGATATTGTAAATAACTGATGATGGTTGTTGATATCAACAGTTTAGACATTTAGGAATATCTAAAAGTACGGCTTGGCGTGTGCCACACGAACAGCTATTGTATCCATACCACTTGTCGACAGTGTAAGAATTAAAAATTGCTGATCATCCGTTGCGAGTACAGTTTTGCCATACTATGATGGAAAAATGTACCTACTATTGATGCTGAGTGTTTAGAAAAATTACTTTTTATTGATGACCATTAATTTGACATATTGCTTCACTGCTTTACGTACGATTTACTTCCATGGACGAGGTTGTAACTTTTTGTGAATAACTCTAAAACGATGCGTCTAATCAAAATTTTCTAAAAGTGAAAATAATTTTAAAATGAAATAGGCTTTAAGAATCAGTTGGAAATTTTAAGGGTTTGCGACATAATAGAAAAGTTTTAAGGAAATACCCTTTGTGGACACCTGTATACTTTCAAAAGTGATCTTAAACGATTTCTTATTATAAAATTGCACTGTTTACCAAATTTTACCTTTCTAAGAGAAATAATATTGAAAATATTTAAGAAAATGTTTAAAACTTTCTTAACTTTGATAGCCCATGTCTGAGCCATTTATGGGTTTAGACCAAAAATTTTTACACGAATCGTTATCATTTTAACTCTACTATTGTGATTAAAATTATACCACGACTTACAGAAACAATCTGGTATAAACAAAAAACAAGGAATAGTTATTTAAGTAACCAGTTATAAAAAGACTAATTTTAAAAACAAATTACGTGAGTTAAACAAAATTAGCCGTTTCATAACGTGTTAAGTACAAAATTTTATCTAATTCCATTGAAAAAGCAATTTTTGTTCAAAACTTAACTTATTCTATTAGTGACAGATGTCAATTTATAAAATTGTAGTTAGGTAATGGAATTCATTACATCACTAGTTATAAAAAATGTGACGAATGATTCATAATGGAATTAGGTATTAAAAGTATTAAAAAACTAATTTCGTAAGACACGCTTGAAATGCACGAATTCAAGTTTAAAAACGAATGGCGAAGCCACGAGTTTTTTAATGACTGAGTGCTGAGAAATATTAAATAAATTTTGACAATGTAGGGAAATAGGTTATGTAGCAGTTGGTAACACCGTAACACTTGAAAATAGAAATTTAAATTGAAAATTAGAAATTGTCAAAAATGTATTCACCTGGAAAAGAATGGATTCATGTACATCTCCCGAAATAAGAGAAATTGCTCAGAGTTCTATTTAAACACTACTTCCAGAGAAGTCCCACGAAAGGTACGAACAACAGTCCGCTAAATTTAAGGCGTGGTGCGAAGAAAAGAAAATTAAAGAAATTTCAGAAAATGACCAAATGTCATCAACTTGAACTGGTTCCATAAAATGTTACTAAAATCTCATTACAGCATCGGATGCTGCAAGGAGTCTCATTATAGCAGTTTGAGTACTGTAATAGTTTTCATTACCGTCGCGAATTACAAAAAAGAAATTTATAAAATATCTCATTCATCAATCTTAATTTTTATATGATAGATTGATATAATAAAATTAGTCAATTTTGAAATTTGGGGAATTCTTGCTTAGTACCTTGAAAATTATGCCGTTTAGATTTTAATTGTTTATGGATACGAATATTAGGTTCAATTTGAATAATTTTTATACATTCCGATTTTTTCTATCGATTTTAGTTTTTGAGTTGTTCCCAATATCAATGACAAATATTACTTTTACAGTACTTTTTGAAGAAAATCCTACTATAATTCCACCTAATTTATCTTTAAATTAATTACCAACTAATGATATTAAAATAACATAAATAATAAAAAAAATATTTTAAAAAGATTGTTGCAGTTTTAGGATAAATTTAACTCATCCCATGTCTTAATTATCTTGCAATAATATTTCTTATCTAGTACAACTAGATAAGTTTTCAGATGATGATGTAAATAATTATTTTTGTTTTATAAATAATACCTTAATATCATCCGCGAGTGTTTTTCCATATTGCGCTAAATAATTCTGTTTGATTTCGCCCATATCAACTTCGCAACGGGTAACCACAACTCTTATCAATTTCTTATCGTTCGTACCCAAGCCAGCAATTGCGTTATGTAAACACTTCGCAAAGAATCCAGGTTGATTTCTAATTGATCGAATAATGGCTAGCAAGCAGTCTCTCGAATTACCGGAAAATTCATTCTTAACCGCCTGTTCAATATCGTGACCGGTGATTTTATAATACTCCTCGAAAATGAGGCGTAATTGGGCGAAGTTCCTCTGGCAAAGCACCATGTTGAAGGTCGATTCGTCAGTTCCTAGTCTCAATTCGCCTATATAAAAAAATATTTTAATATATGTTTAAGGTTTTTTGCGCAAAATTAAAATTACCAGCTTTGAGTAATTCTCGGGCATCTGCAGCTGCGTTTGCTTGGTTAGTCACCATTGACTCGTCCCTACAAGCGTTACATAAGGACACCATGAGTCGTTTGAATGTTCCCGATGTGTCCCCTTTTAAATCTTCTTCTAAATTTCTTCCATACACTACAGAAAAAAAAATATAATAATTTGATTCACTTAAAATTTTTTTTATCTTACTTGATGTATAAGCTTGACGGATCGTGCGAATTTCATTATTACTCTTTGTACCCAACACTTCAATTAATACATCTTCATCCGTTCCTAAGCCTCTAATGGCGTCATTTAATTCTTTAGCATAAAATTGAGGTAGAGGTGTCATTAAAGCTACTAGTAAATCTTCAAATCTCCCGCTAGTTTCACTTTTGAGATCTTTAACCAAATCTTTTCCGTACATAGTTTTGAATTCGATTGCGATTTGTAGCCTTTGTTGATTACTTCGTCTTGCTAAGCAGTTTATGATACTTTTCTCATCAGTTCCGAAACCTTTCATAGCTTTTCGTAAAACTTCCGCATCTGATTTGGGGTCGAATGGATGTGCAGGTACTACGGTTGGGGTTCCCTACAAAAATTTTTAAAATGTACTATTCAATTTCTTTTAAGATTTATTCTAATAAAATTTTTGTATAATTTAAGCTTTCTAACCCTCCATCACCGTAAAAATAAATTTCAACGATAAGTTTATTTTTAATATACAAAAACAAATCTTTCAATCCCAGATTAACCCTGCTTTATACGAATTAACAACTTATCTAACCAATTACGCACACAAAAAGTATTTCAAGATACATAAAAAGCCTTGGAATTTATGTGGGACAAACAAATATATTTTTATCGCCGTAGATTTAGGTATAACAATAATTATTACCTTTCTCATCATATGGACCATATTATTTGAATTCCCATAAGCGGGATTACCTCCAGATGATGGTGCTGAAGGATACATGCTTGAGCCAGGACGCAAATGTCCTTGATGATGCGAAGGATATTGTGTATTGGGATTTGAAGGCATTGGAAAAGAATTGTTTGGATATGGAGTTGAGTGATGAGTTGTATTTGTGGGATAAGGAGCTGAGGATGCTCCAGACATTCCTGGATAAGAAGGTGAATTTGGATAAGGCGATGTATTTGGATAAGGAGATGTATGTGTATAAGGAGATGTATTTGGATAAGGAGATGTATTTGGATAAGGAGATGTACTTGGATAAGGTGATGATGATATAGGTGGTACTGGAGCAGGTCTAGTAGTTACTGGAGGTACTCCTGAAGAGTAATATGTATCATTCCCACTTGGAGGTGGGGGATTAGGATAATTTGGACGTGGCATATAAATAGGAGCATCATGTCTGAAGCCTAAACTTGGAGGAAAAACCCCTCTTGGTCCGCTAGGAGGATAACCACCAGGAGGATTATGAGGATATGGAGTTCCACCAGGATATTGAGGATAACCAGGACCCTGGAAGAATAAGAATTTCATTAAGGGGTGGATATAAGGATTTATTTTACTTAAATAATTAAACTTTTTTAGTTCTATGCTTAAAAGACCAGAAATGAAAGTATGCCAATGTCAGACTATACTGTTATTTTTAACACTAATAGATGAGATTCTTAGAAGTCCTAACTCAATAGAAACAACGTAACAAAAATAGTTAAAGATAAATATTTATTTTTAAAAATAAAATTTTGTTACATCGCCTTTTATATCTATGTCAATGGGTAAACTTCTTAATTAAACTCGAAAGTTAGTAGCACAGAGTGCAAACCGCTTTTGTAGTGGGATCAGATCTATTTATAGAAGCAACAATAATAAAACTTACATGATGGTACGGTGGATAACTCATTTTTCTATCGGATTGTTGGTAAATAAAAGATTATAATAGAGAAAATTAAAATAACCACTCAAACTAGAATGATAAGATTACGACCCGAACGGGATCGTGCCACTTTTGCAACTCCCACTACTCGCTGATACGCGTTGCTTATATAGAATAGACCTATGGCTGATTCACACGAGTACATTTTCGATGTGGGTTTATTATTGACGTCATTGTTGGAGTTCTTATAAACTAATTAAACTTTCGGAGAGAGTCGTTATCTATTACGAAATTGATTTATAAAAAAAAAATAAATTACTTAAAAAAAGAACAAATAATTTTATTGTGTAGAAAGGAATTTATTTGTGTAGTGAAAAGAAGCGATCAATGATGACCTTCACTAAATCCAAGGTTGCTAGAATAGGTACTTATTTAGACGCTACTGTATGTGTCTGTTTTAAAATATTCTTGACCTTCATACAGTAGGAATTTAAAAGAAAAGAAATCAATAGATAAATGGAATAGAAATGGTTTCAAACGTGACGTTGAAACGTTAAAAGTTTCATGTCAATCTACATCAAAATAAAGAAGTTTATTTCACCATGTTTATGACGTTATCTGACGAAAACAAACGTAGATGATGATTCATAAAATTTCCATTTATCGTAGGTATTTACTAGCCAAAATAAATACAAAGCACTAGTATAAATATTTATGAAATTTGTAAATACAAGCTATAAGTTCACCAAATTACATTCATAAATAAAGAATATAGTTTTTTTTATAATACAGAGTTTCCCAAAAGTAACAGATAAATTTGTTAAAACAATTAAAAACAGTTTATAGAAAAATCGCAGAGACGGCTAGATTTCAATTTTTTGCAATTTTTTGGTATAGATTTTAAATTTTTTCCGCCATTTTTAAACGAGTTATCGATATTTTTTTTAAATAGCAATCTCCATTTAGCTACAAAAATTGGCGGAAAAAATTTATAATCTATACCAAAAAATTGCAACAAACTTAAATCTTTAGACTCGTCTCAGCGATTTTTCCATAAGCTGTTTTTAATTGTTTTAACGAATTCATCCGTTACTTTTGGGAAGCCCTGTATATTCAGTTTTTGTTTCAATACCTAAATGATACGAATGCAGTTAATTAATTAGGTGCTATGTTTAATTTTATCTTAAATGAATACCAAGTAAAATTATAATAAATAATATTTTCTGAAACTGTCAAGTAATGTTGCAATTGCAAGGCGTTTTGATAAAAGAAAGTTAATCTTTTCCAGACTCAAATGTTCCTCCTCAAATTGACATCTTTCTAGATTTTGATGTAAACAACTATTACGTCCATATGTAAATAAAAGAACTTCTTCTTGACTTTCCTTATATTTAATTGGGCTTTCTGTAAAATGTTTTTGATTGTTAAAGAATCAAAATGTTTCTGAATGGATCGCATTCCGTGCACTTCACTCTCACGGACCCTTTATATTTTTCCAACTTATGGAAGTAGAAATCAAAAACAAATCCAAATGAAGGGAAGTAAACCTTAATTCTTTGGAGGTGGAGGTCCTCTGTTTACAAACGTTAAGGAGGTAGCAGATTTGTTCGCATTTCGTAATTCCTCTCTAAATGAGGAGCACGCTCTTCTAAGCGCTGTATGACACGAGAGGGAGATGTTATTTAAGAGAAGGCCTTCAAAAACGTGTTGAAAAAAAGTATAAATCCAGCAAAAGTTGATGTAAAATGGATGCCAGTGGGTATAAGATTGAACTTCGATGAGTCAACGTCAGAGAAAGCGGTTAAGAAGTCCAAATGAACTGCGACTTAACGAAAGGAACCGATGGTTGTACCAGTTAGTTAATGTAATAATTTTATTGCTTATTACTTGATATGCAAAAGAGATTTGTACTAAAATGATTATATTATACAGAGTGGTCCATTTAACGTGAGACAAGCGAGTATCTTTAAAACGGTTCATTTTACATAAAAATGAAACAAATGAAAGTTGTTTCTGTGCGAAGGAGGAAACCATATGACGATAACATTTTTTGATTGCAAAATCTGAATCTATGTATAAAAGTAAAATAATTAAAGCAAAAAAAAAATCCCGTGTGGTTTTGCCAGTTCGACGGCGAAACATCTTTTGTAGACAAAATCTAAATAATTTTTTATTCAAATAGTTTTAAATATTATTTATTTATAAAAAAATGATTAAACTATCCTATTAATCAACAACAAGTATAAAATTTATAATAAATGTTCAAATATTTCCCCACCCACTTCAATACATTTATTAACTCTTCTACTAAAAGTTTCTTTACATCTTAAAAGGTTTTCTTGGCTTTCCCCGCTCAAATCTACAAGTAACATTGGTAAGACGTCAACCATCTCGGATCTTCAACGCTCCAATAGTGCATGTTATGTCTATTGACTTGTCCTTTGTTTGTAAAAGTAGACTCATCTCCGAGAATAGCACGGTACCAAAGAAATTGACGTCCAACCGCACTCGTTCTTTTGCCCATTGACAAAATATTAATCGATTTTCAAAGTCACCTCCATAAAATTTTATGCAATGAACTGTTGAATGTGATATGAGTGATACTTGTTGCGATTTAATATTCTTAAAATGCTGGTCTTCGATATTCCGGCGTCAATCAGTCGTCGAGTGCTAACTTGAGGATTTACCTCAACGCTTGCTAATACTGCAATTTCCTTTTCTTCCGTAGTTACAGTTGCTCGCCAAGTTTTCTTCTTTTTCTTGATTTCACATTTCCAGTGTTAGTGAAATCATTCACAACTCTGTAAAAGGTACTTCTCGAAGGCGTATTTCGATCAGGAAAACGTTCTTGATACAAAGCAACATTTCTGCCACTTTCTCCATAAATCAAAATCATTTCAACTTTTTGTGCCACACTTAGAGTATCCATGATTTAATGACTTAGTTTAAACACTTTGCCTTAATGTAAAACGATGGAATGAATTCAGAATTTGTTGCCAAACAGTTTTTATGCAAATTTAGTTTTACCTGTTACATTTTAAAACAATTCAACCAATTAAGTCTCTGAAGGCGATATTCTGAAAATGCCGACATAAGCAGTTCCACGAACTCTTGTTTTTTATGCGTTATTCTATTATCAAATTGACAAAGGCGGAGAAATATCGGAACCTTTTAGACCTCTTTCCAAAGATATTTCCGACGAGCTAGGTCACCCGATGTACCTTTTCTGGATTTTTTTTGTTGAGCATTCTTAAATAGTATTCTAAGAATTAAGAACTAAAGACAATGGATCGAAGCGGGTAGGAAAATGTTTAAAAATTCATAAATCTTATTTGTTCTTGCTAGATTATAAACGTTAGTTAATTGTTTCTGAAGAAGTTTCAATTTTTTTCAAAAGATGTTTTGCCGTTGTACTGGCAAAACCACACAGTAAATTTTTTTTTTTGAATTTCTTTACTTTTATCCACAGATTCAGATTTTACAATAAAATATATAGGGTGCTATTTAAAAATTGGTCGTGACCTTCATATAATCTTGAAAATAAGGTCAAGGTAAAAAAATATTATCGTCATATGGTTTCCTCCTTTGCACAAAACAACTTTCATTTGGTTCATTTTTATGTAAAATGAACTGTTTTCGAGATAATCGCTTGTCTCACGTTAAATGGACCAGCCTGTATAGTCCTGTTGTTTATCAAAAACCCGCCCTATAAAATTCGCTTCTAAGCTATTTTATTAGCAACGTCTTTACCAAAACGGTCTGAAGCTTTGGACGATGGAACGAAGCTCAATCAAATAGTACAGTCCTATGTAATCCATCAAATGTGACTACAAATTGTAGTGTCTAGCAGACCAAACGAGATACGTTATACGTTTTGACGTATATTAAGAGACTTTAAGTCTGCTATAAAAGTAATCAGATAGATTCGCTAACAATCTATGCTAAATACCGGGGCTATTCGCTTAAATTACGCTGGTAGAGCTGCCTACCCTATCAACAGGCATGAAGACACTTTCTCCTTTTATCGCCACCCAATGAACTGAACTATCCAGCTCTAATCGTGTCTTCCTTTTCTGGTTTATAAAATATACTTGTCGTTATTGTTACCTGGCAACATCCGAGTGAGGATAGTGCTGAGCAGAAAGTTTATGCCGATCATCAATATTTTAGTAAAGTGTAAAGACTTTGTGTTGAATGAACATATTGAGGTTGAAACGCTACTCAAATCAAACGCTAATATGATATCTTAAGGTGGCTACACACGTAATTGCAAACTTAACAAGTATGCATGATCAATCATTTTGTACAAGTATGCTTTAAGGAGCCTATCGCTCGTCATGCATGCATGACCGTGGATAGGCCCCTTTAGCGTTTGTAGGGTAATTTTGCACAAACATTTTGCTTGTGCAATCCGCTTGATGATGGATTGAATTTCAATCATGCAACGTGTACCAAGCACAGTGCTTGGCAGAAGGTTCATATAAGTTTCTTCGTTCATTCTGAGATAATTATGCCAGTTACGTGGATATGAAAATGATATATCAACATTTTGAGGACAACAGGATGTTTACAGACAGCCAATTTGGAAATTACGTCGGCTGTTATACTTGGGTTGTCCAATGCTGCTGCAGTCTATATATCTGTTCTGTGGCTGCAGTTGCCTTTCACGACGGAGCATATGCGGGAGCTTTATTTTGTGATCTCAGTGAAGCGTTTGACTCGGTTTTGTTCGACATCCTAATTGAAAAATTAAAATGTTATCAATTTTCTAGTAAAGCCATAGACTTGATTCATGGCTATCTGAACAATAGAATGCAATATGTTACATACGACGGGGAGGACTCGAGTATGGCAAGTCTGAGCTGTGGTGTCCCTCAGGGGTCGGTCCTGGGTCTTCTTTTGTTTGTAATTTATATAAATGATCTAACCCAATATATGCAAGGATCTAAATGTGTCATTTACGCTGACGATTCAACGGTTATTATTCAAGAAAAAAGAATTTAAAGAATTAATTTTAAAGCTTGAATCTTCTCAAACGCTTTTATCAGAATGGTTTTGTACAAATAAATTAAAATTAAATGCAGAGAAGACAGAGAAACTCATATTTACATTAAAAAATCTACCAGTATCTGAAAGCATTTATAAAACTGAAGTGAAGTTCCTAGGAGATTATCTTGCTTCCACATTAGTTTGGGACAAACATATATAACATATTTCGCGACAATTGTGCAAGACCATTTATCTCCTAAGAAATCTATTTAGTAAAATCAGTACAAAACTGATGTTGCTGATTTATTTTTTTTATTTCATTCTGTTGCATCGTATGCTATAATATCATGGGATCATTCTTACCACATGCATAGAATCTTTAAATTGCAACGATGGGCTATACGTATTGTCATGGGATTGCAGTATAGAGATGATGTGAGGGATTTTTTTGTAAGTCACAACATAATGATAGTTGCATGTATATATATAGAACTTTAATATATTTAAAAAGCAATCTCTCAAGATACCAAACAGTTCAAGATGTGCATAATCACGCCGTATGATCGCACCAAAATATCAGAACCCCTTTTACAAGAGTTGATAGAGGTCGAAATGCTGTCAACCATTTTGGGCCGTCACTTTATAGTAAATTGCCACAAGATGTAAAGGATCTTCCAGTGAAACATTTTAATACTAGAATAAAAGACTACTTGCTTAGACGTGCCTTTTATTCCGTAGAAGACTTTGACTTTACATAATTAATTAAGATTTGTTTAGATTGTGTAAAGATTTGTATTTTAATTTTATTATACATATGTGTATGTTATTGTTGTATATTTTAATAATAAATATGAATTTAATAAATCTGAATCTGATATATCTTTAATTCACTCAGTAAATTAATATGGGAATAGGTTTTTTTTTCAATAACCACTCTTTACACCATATATCACGTTTCTTCTTCCGCGTTTTCCTCTTATGGACAAGGCAAAACGCAGTCAGTGCGAGTGCATCGTCGTCCGAGCTCGACATAGTCCAAGCGCAAACTGGCGCTTGTTTAAGCATACTTGTATCGTGTGGTGTCGAAGGGAAATTTTGCATGCTTGTACAAAAAGATTGATCATGCATGCTTGTCAAGTTTGCAGTTACGTGTGTAGCCACCTTTGGTCAATCAGAATGCCAAAAGTTCTGAATTAACATTGTGTGCGTTTCGGTTAGAAATCGTCAATCGTCACCGTTTGGCAACGAAGAACGAAGAACTCCAAACGCGTAAAATTTGACCATTGCAAATAAAGTACATATTTATAATTCTTCATAAAGCCTACTTTCAAACTTTTTTGCAAGAAAATTTTGTCTTTTGTGGATATAACAATATCTGCTCACAACAAGAAGCTAGATGTGAAGAAAAATGAAATAAAAATTGTTTGGACCAGCAGCTCAACAAAGTGCTAGCTGTGGCGTGCCGTTGTCCACTATTATTTATGCCGAATACAATAAAAATTTTTAAAAATCGGTTCATAAATAACTGATGTTCTTCACCACGAATGAGACTTAGATTTCTGGTTTCCTAAGACTTCAAAGATATTTCCAGAAAATTTCCTAGCATCAATTAGCATCTATTTGGCAATTTCTAAAGATTTTCTAAAGACTGTTCCAAAATCATTTTATTTAAAAATTTATATTTATAAGATTATCGAGAATTTTATAATATGTAGCTGATAAATCATAATTAACGATAACTATATGATGTTGACAAGAATACATTGACAGAAATTTCAAGCATGTCTACCTACAAAATCATCTTATGGATGAGATTTACTTTACTGGGATGATATTTTAGGAGTTTTAAAAGATTATGTAAAGTCGAATCAGGAGTTTCTTGCATGGCCAAAAGTATGTTTTGTTAAATCATTTCCAACACATTTGCTCGCCTAGATTTCGAACGATTATATTCAAACGATTACCTATGTTGCACACATACTATGCAAGATTTATAATTTAAAATCACAAGTTGATCAAAGAAATATTGCATCAAAGAGCACAAGCACTTAATGTTGGAAATCGTGTTCCAATCCCAACTCTAATTATATACAAATTATCAATTTTTTGTAGTGCGAATAGATTTATTATTTTAATAAATTTACAATGAAAATACAAACAACAGGTGATACAAAAACGATGCAATAAGAAGAATAACATTTAACTTAACCAGATTTTTTTAAGGTAGATTTAGAATTATTTTTGTTTTCTATATTATTTCTAATTTTTACTCTACTCCAATAAGAGTCAATAAGCACTTTTTGTAATCTCCAGAAGTATCTCCTTCAATAGCAGCGGCTAAGCTTTCCCCATATTTATCCTCATAAACGCTTTTTATGTCTTCCATATCGATCTCGCATCTAGTAACAACGACCCTCATCAATTTATTATCTTTGGTCCCAATTCCGGAAATAGCATCGTGTAAAGTCTTTGCGTAAAAATGGGGAGTGTTTTTTATCGATCGAACAATAGTTAAAAACGCGTTTTCAGCATCCCCAGAAAATTCGCTTTTAATAGTGTCTTCAATATCATTTCCAGAAATTTTTTCGTATTGACCAAAAATGACGCGTAATTGGGCGTAGTTTCTTTGGCACAGAATCATATTAAACGTAGATTCATCAGTTCCCCATTGATTTTCGCCTGCCTCCAAAAGTCGATTAGCATCTTCGACTGCAGCCTCGGTGTCTATATGCATGCTTTCATCGCGGCCAGCTGCGGAAAGCGATACCATTATTCTTCTGAACGTTCCAGAAGTGTCTGAACTCAAATCATCTTCTAAGGAACTTCCATATTCCGCATCGTAAGCTTCACGAATGCAACGAATTTCTTCGTTAGTTTTCGTACACATAACTTCAACTAAAACATCTTCGTCCGTTCCTATTCCACTAATTGCTTCGTGAAGATGTTGCGCATAAAGAACTGAGAGAGGAGTTAACATGGATGTTAAAAGGTGTTTGAAGTTTCCACTTGTTTCACTTCGAATATCGTGTGTTAAGTCCTGTTTAATAAAAAAATTTTATACATTTAAAGTTTTTTGTAGGATATATTTACCTTTCCATACATAGTTTTGAATTGAACAGCAATTTCTAATCTTTGAGCGTTAGTTCTTTTAGCTAAAACGTTAATGATGGCACTTTCATCAGTGCCAAAACCTTTCATGGCTCCCCGAAGTACTTCAGCATCTGCTGATGGATCGAATGGATCAGCAGGGAGCAAAGATGGAGAAGTCTATAATAGTTGTATATATTAATGAAATATGCTGGATGAAAAAACACCCAAAACAGGAATTAAAGGGATACGGAGGCACAAAAATCAATAATAAGAGAATGTCGTGTTAAAATATAGGGGGAAGATTCTTTTAATTTGTTTTTCGGGCAAAAAATTAGAAGCCTTTGGGAGTTATAACTGGCGAGGTATTCGACCTAAATATGTTAATTTATTAAAAAGGAGTGGATGTAGAGATAAATATTTAAATAAAAATATTAGGTAATAAAGATACCTGTTTTATTAATTATTTATAGTAATATTAGAGCCATAAAGTATGGAATATCATTAAGTTGTTGATTTTGTTGTAATCACTTTTCTACAATCTAAAAGTATTCTAAGTAGTAGATTACAAATACTTTTCGTTATTACTTGCTACCTTGCTTCTCACATAAGGTAATCATGATCGATTGATATAATCTAATGCTTTATCTTTAAAACTCAACGACAGTTTTATAACTTAATATTTTTAATCCTATTTAATTTTTTTGAAAATCAATATAACAAAAATTCTATAGTCATTTCACTATTACTTTCTACGTTCCAAATTATCTTTTAAAACAAGTGGGTACATAATATTTTATGAACAACAAATACTCATACAACCCAACATTTACATACATTTTAAAAACAGGGTTACCTATTTCAATGGATTATCGACTTATTTCTTATTTTTTTATGTATGATATATGTTGGTGATGGTTTAGATATGATGGATTAAGATAGGGCTCATAAAGTAAATATGATAATCCCCAAAGTCAATAACTGTAATTGGAAAAATTGAATGTTCTAATACTCACATAAGGATAACCTGGATAACTCATCGTTAATATGAAATATCTGAAAAATATTACATATGAAAATAAAGAACTAAAAGTTCCAAGACGATAAAATCATCCATTAAATAAATTGTTGATTAAAATCATTTTTGAGTAACTTTGAAATTGTTAAGATTTAAAAGGAATAATAATTAGTTTAAAAAATATTTCTTTAACCATTTTATTTTAAACAAAGGCTTACGTGAACTGTTGTGGTTATAAAACCGGCGATGTAGACGTGACAGTACAGTTTGGATGCTGAAAGTCAACTAAAATGATCTAGTACAGCCGGCTGATAATTTTCTCAAGCATTTGTTTGAGTTTGCGCGGCGCAATTACGAACAGCGTCCTTAACGTTACTTGTGTTTTAAATTTTAGAAAAATTATTTAGAAGTCAACTAGTGAAAATATTTAATCAAGAGGAGACGTGACTCAGTTACCTAAAAATATTTGTGATCGATAAAATTTATGATGTACAAAAGAGATATTTCACAAAAATATATCACCAAAATTTATTATTAAAAATTTAACAATTTTATATTATCAAAAAACATTAAAATTATGAAATCAGGGATGCTACAAAAAAACGTTCACTAAACTTCTTAAATAATCCTAAATACTGAAGTCCAATTCATGTAAATCCAGAGATCTAAAATTCCTAACAAAATTGAAAAAATATGGTCCCATTATGGCTCCTCGGAGAACATGCAAGTAAGTAGTGATCAAAATAATGGAATAATAGTGCAGAAAGTCGGGTCACCTAAAGTTCCTATGGCGAAATGTCTTATGTTCGTTAATTAAACACTACTTAGTTTTATTATACAACTATTTATTAAGCGTATACTACATCTTACAACTTTTACTATACAGGATGTTTCATAATATATGCGCAGGACTTCGGGGTGTGATAGCTTGTCCAAAAATTTGAAAAAACATTTCTATCAACTTACCTTCTAAAATGCACTATTTTCGAGATACAGGGTGTTGAAATTTAATAACAAAATTCGTTTTTTGCGAATATCTCCGGAACCGTTTATCGTATAGAAAACAGCTTTTGTAAGCATTTTCTACTCATAATAAGCTAAGTTTTGTGCGAGAAAAAAATGTTTTAAAGTAATAATGACTATTTTACATAATTGGTGAAGATTTTGAAGGGGTAGTGATTGTTTTTCTCCCCAACTTCTACGCTACTGGAAAAAGTACGGTTTTGAGACGCCCATTTGAACCGCCAATGTTTTCTACACAAAAAAGGTACTGAAGGTCATGAGCTCTAAAGTTGACAGTTTTCTAGAAAAATCAACTTTTATGTTAAAAAACATGTTCAATTTTTTGAAATAGAAATTTTATTTTACAATTAAACAAAACTTATGCATTGACTGTCTAACACGCTGGAAAATTCCCAGAGTATTCCAAATTATGTCGCAAGATACAACAATGCGCTCTCTTAATTGGTCAACATTTTCAACTGGAGTAGCGTAGACTAGGGTTTTGAGATGTCCCCAAAAGAAAAAAACCTAAGGGAGATCGCGGTGGCCAAGGGTAGGGACCTCCTTAACCGATCCAACGGTCTGGGTATTTGTCGTCCAAGTATTGGCGAGCAACCAAACTAAAGTGGACCGGAGCTCCATCATGCATAAAGTACATGTTTTGTCATACTTGAAGCGGTACATCTTCCAGCAGTTCCAGCAGTACTTCTTCTAGAAATTGTCGATAATCTGCACCGTTTAATTTGTTGGGTAAAAAATGTGGGCCTATCAAATGATCACCGACGATGGCAGCCCAAACATTTACGGAAAATTGTTGCTTCTGCAATTTCATGAGGATTTTCTTCTGCCCATATGTGGTTATTGTGAAAATTGAAAATACCATCCTTCGAGATAAATGCTTCATCGGTAAACAGAACTTCGGCTCCAAACTCAGGATTTTGAGCTATTTTCTCTTGCATCCATGTACAAAAAGACAATCTTGGCGGAAAATCTCTCGGCAATAAGGCTTGTACTCTTTGGATATGGTAGAGATACAAAAGTTGCCTTTTCAAAATTCTCCAAACCGTCGAGTGAGATAGGTTTAAGTTGTGAACAATTTTTCTGGTACTTGTAGTCGGATTTTCATCAATTTCGTTGAGGACAGTCTCTTCTACTTGGAGAATTGTAACTTCCATAGGCCGCCCATTATCAGCAGTATTCATTTTAAAACTTCCATTTTCCCATAGTCGTTGGTGAATGCGTAGAAACAGTTATGGTGTGGTACTGGGCGATCAGGATGTCTTTCTTAAAACAACTGCCTTGCTTCTGCCGAACTACCGCACGCCATTCCGTAAAGGTAATACAAACGGTTCCGGAGATATTCGCAAAAAACGATTTTTTTTTATTAAATTTCAACATTCTGTATCTCGAAAATGGTGCATTTTAGAGGGTAAATTGATAGAAACTTTTTTTCAAATTTTTGGGCAAGCTATCACATCCTGAAGTCCTGCGCATATATTATGAAACACTCTGTATATCTCTCTTCTTTATCAACCTTACTACTAACGTCATCTACCTAACATCGTATACAACATTCCCCTTTTTTCTTATTTTTACATTACATAATCCTTAAATCTACTTGGTCTTCTTCTTTCTCTTCTTGTCCTTGTTTGTTAAATTTGCTGATTTACTTGCTCTCCCTAGTCTTTATTGTTTACATTCAAGTCTATGTCCAAATTATTGTCAAACCTAATTTCAGGCTCCAACTCTGTCTTCTTTAGCTGCACTCTATTTCTGCTAATCACTTCTCCATTTTCCTTTTGCACCCAATATGAACGTGGTTATGAACGTGGTTCAGTTTTCACCAACACCTTGTCATCCTTCCTTAACTCTCCATAATCTCTCGCTGTTTTGTCATAATATGATTTTGTCGTTACTTATTTGTTTTGATTGTAATTGTTTGCCAAAAATTGGTAATCTTGTACGAATTTATCTCCGAAATAATATTTCTGCTGGTGCCAGATTTAAATCTTTCAATTTCGTACTTCTATACATCATTCATTCTATCTTCATTCTTTCTCAAAATATTTCTTGCCGTTTGAACAGCGCGTTCGGCCTTTGCCAAATCTTTTGAATTCAAATGATCCAAATGGCATATTATCTGCCACTATTTTCCTCGGAATACCATGTATCGCGAATAATTCTTTTAACTTTTCTATTATTTCTATTGCCGTCTTTCTTTCCAACTTTATAATGTCTAACCATTTTGAAAACTGATCTAATACAATTAAGTAATCTTTTCCTTGATTGACATTCGGAATTTCTAAAGGTCTTTTTGCTCCCAACTATCTTCTCTGTTGACGTTATTTCTATGTCGATGGATCTCTATGGCTTCTCTTGTCAGTCCTTGGTAGTATCTGTTGTCCCTAGCCAGCACCTTTCTTTAATCGAAGTCTATTCGGTGTCCCTCTGCATGGCAATGTTCCGCGACCGCCGACTGCTGAATCTTCTTCAACCTTACATCCCTTTCATGCTCCTTGATGCAGCACTTGACGTTACATCCAGTTTGGCCAACGTAAACCTTCTCACAACTACACGATAGTCGGTAGACTCCCGTTCCTTTTAATGGAGTTAGTTTGTCCTTGGCTATCGGGAGTGTGCTTCGAATTTTGCTGACCGTCCCGTACCGCACCACAATGTCGTTAATCTTGAGGTGCCTGGCAATTCGTTTCGTTACACCTGAAACATAGGGAAGACAGATAACTTGGGTTTATCTGTCACAGATAAAAGAGGGAGGACCTCTGCTTTCGCTGCTTGATGGCCCGGTTGATGACCCTCGAAGTGTATCCGTTCTTCTGCAGCACGCCTCGTAGAAAGTGTTGCTCCTTCTACAAGTTATCTCCTTCACATATTCTCGCTGCTCGCTGAAATAAAGTACGGATCACTGACCTCTTCTGTTGGGGATGACGATGTGATGAAGCCTGCAGATACCTGTTGGTATGGGTCTTTTTCCGATATACACCAAGATCCAAATCTCCATTTGTCGTCCTGGTGACCAACACATCTAGGAAAGGTAGTTTTTCGGCAGTTTCTGTTTCCATGGTAAATTTAATCATAGGATGTTGAGAGTTCAAGTGATCCAAGAACTCTTGGAGCCGTTTTTGACCATGTGGCCATATCACAAACGTGTCATCCACATACGGAGCCATAGTTTTGGTTTCAACTGGCTCTTCTTCAAAGTGTCTTCTTCGAATAATTCCAAGTAGAAATTAGCTATAACTGGCGATAATGGAGATCCCATGGCTGCCCGTTCGAACTGTTCGTAAAATTCTGCTTTCCAGCTGAAATATGTCGACGATAAACAGTACTCGACTAGATCTGGAACGTATTCTGGTAATCCCTTTGGAATGAGCTTCTGGTGGAGACCATCCACAGCATCCTTAAGTGATACCCTGGTAAAAAGAGACTCTACATCGAAACTTACCAAAATATCCTCAGCATACAGCTTTATACCTCTTACCGATTCCACAAAATGTGTAGAATCTCTGACAAATCGCACATCCAATTCAATAGTGCCACAAATGCAAAAATTGCATATTTTCAGTTAAGGCTGAAAATACAGCCACAAGTTGTAGTTATGGCGCTGCGTTACTAACAATCCAATGATTCAATGATTTCAAAATCAAATGATTTTACAATGCGATACCGCCAAAAGTTGCAGTTGTGACTTTATAATTTTAGCAGTACGGTGTTTGTATTTATTTTCTATTCAGTTGCATCCTGATTGCATGATTCAAACGGAAGCAACTACCGCGACTCAACTTCACACGGCTCATGTAAGGTTCACCTTTATATCTTAGTAAATTGTGTATAAACTAATGTGCACTGATAGTAAACCGAATGGGATTATGTCTCATGGCAAAAAGTTAGTTGAGCTGGCTGGCTTTCTTAAGACATCTACTTTCGAAAATAACGGCAACAGTGATTTTGAGGTTAGAAAACGCATATCCAATTTGTATGTTACTAATGTACATAAGCAGAAGTTAAGTGACGGAAATGTGTTAAAAGAGGTAATTAGTACTTAATTTCTATGCTGAAATTTCGTTCTCATTTATTAATCTTTATTTCTATTAGCAGTTCAACTGTCAACCAAAACTAAATAAAATGGAGCCAGAAAAGTCTGCTTTAGTGCCAGATTCTGTTAGTGCTTAGTTTTATGATTTTTTAAATTCGTTTAAAAGCAAGTGTATTTGATTCAGATGATTCCGTTAAGGATAGGGATTATGAGCCTGCAGATAATGATTTATGTATGTGTACAGAGAATGAATTAAAAGTGAAACTGAATCGGATGGTAATGAACAAAAACCTAAGCCAAAATCACGAAAAAGATTACGCAGACCTGAAACCTGGAGAAGAAATATAAAAAAGGTTAAAGTAAATTCGGGAATGCCGTACGTGTCTGAAGGTAATAGGGAAATTCCGGGAAAATCTTTAAAAACCACCTTGTGGCCAAAAAATGTAGGTGTGCAAGCAGGTTAACAGAAGTGGAAAGACAGACCATACATACATCTTTTTGGAATTTGGCTGATAACAGCCTCTGAGACAGTTTGTTAGTGGTCACATAGAGAAATGTAAGGTAAAATATAGAAGAGCCGTGGAAGAAAGCAATCGTAGTGAAAATCTGTGGTATCATTCAACATCAAAGGGAACACGAATCAAAATGTGTAAAAAATTTTCATGAATACATTAGATATAGGTGATAAGTGTATTAGAACTACTTGGAAAAAAGCAAAAGGTCAATGTTCAGAAAGATATGAGAGGAAATCAAACCAAAAGGGAAACAATTAGTCCTGCGACTAAAAACGAAATTATGACCCATATAAATTCTTTTCACAGAATAGAATCGCATTATCTTCGAGAGCAAACCACACGCGAATTTTTAGTTGGATCATTAACTATAGCCTAAGTGTACAGATATTATAGAGCCGAACAAGAAGCAAAAGAGTTACCTGTTGCAAAGAAGTATACTTATACACATATTTTTAATACAAAGTTCAACATATCATTTTTTCAACCAAAAAAGAATCAATGGTCGATTTGTGAACCATTCAAAAATTCTAGTCCCGAAGAACAACTAAACTTACAACAAAGTTACGAAAGGCACATGAAAAACAAAACAAGAAGTAGTGAAGAGTTAATTAAAGTGAATTGCTTTGACTTACAAGCAGTTTTACTAACTCCTTTTTATATTTCAACATTCTTTTACAAATGCCGCTTAAATTGTCTTAATTTTACAATTTTTGAAATAACGAAGAGTGGATTTTGCTATTTTTGGTATGAGGCTATAGCTCACCGGGGTGCAAATGAAATAGCTACATGCCTTTTAGATTATCTTTCCAGCGAATGTATAGGAAAAGAAGTTATACAACAGTGTAGGACAGAATAAAAATAAAATGATAGTTTCCATGTACATGTACGCAATTAACAAATATGACATCAAAAGTATTACTCACAAATTTCTTACTGTTGGTCATACTCAAAATGAAGGGGATTCTACGCACGCCACTATTGATCGTCAAAAACAAAGGATGTTGAAAAGCGGCCCTATTTATGTTCCTTCTCAATGGCCTGCAATTATAAGAGCTGTTAAAAATGAAGGTAAACCTTACATTGTAAAGGAACTTGCTACAGAAGAATTTTTTGATTTTAAAAAGCTAAGAAAGAATTTTTCGGTTAGTGTAAATAACAATAAGGTCTTGTGGCACGACATTCAAGTAATTAAAGTTGAACAAAACAATCCGACTTCATTTTTTTATAAAACTGGTTTTGACGGTGAATATGAACAAATTAATGTTCAAGATAAGCAACGAGGACACATTAACATTAAAAATTATAACCTGGATAAAGCCTTTACAAGTCCACCACAAATTTCGGCAAAAATAAAAGAACATCTTGCTGAACTATGCGCATTATTAAGAAAGTGTATCACCCTTTTTATAACAGTTTATTTGCTCAAAATGGTTAAAAGTGCATTTTTATTTGATTTTCATGTGTACATTACGTTTTCGTAGTAAATATCTTTTCTGTAATACCAACATTTCGTATTTAATAATAAATTTCCTTTAATTAATTTTGTATTTTATATGCAATATAGCCACACTATCATAATCACAGCGAGACTTCAATAACATTTTTGAGTATGCAAAAATTCAATATTGCCGCTACTATCAAGGCCACTTTGAAACTTAACTTTAGAAAATTTCATTTTTTGAAAACAAATATTTAGTTTAATTGTACTTACGAACAAAAGCATAACAATATTTTCAGATATTCGTATTCTAAAATTTGAAAAAAGTACACAGATAAAATTGTTTTCTTGATTTCTGTAAAACTATATTCACTATACATACTTACGGCACTATTAAACTGGATGTGCGATATGATTCAGAGTTCCCTGTAAAGGCAGACAAAATCTTTGCAAGATATTTGGCCAACTGGTATGTTGGGGAGTTGATGGCACTGACGATAGGACGGATGGGGACCTCTGGCTTATGAATCTTCGGTAGTCCATAAATTCTTGATGGTACCAGCGCCTGCACAAACAAACTTTTTTGCTGTTCTGCTGGAATTCCTGTGGATTTTATCAGGTCCTTCATTTTCCTTACAATTTTGTCTGTGAGGTCTTTCTTGAGTGATACTTTTCATATACATTTCAAGTCCATTTTAATAGCATATTGTGACCGACCCTTTCTGCATTGTCGAAGAAACTACAATGCCGGAAATCTTCTCAGGTTTTTCCGAAGTTAATATCAAGACAGATAAAACAACCGCTGGCAGCGATCATTCAAAAGCACTCCAAAGACAAAAAGAAATCTAAGTTACTAACCTGGAATTCAGCTTCATAAATTATGTGATAATAATATGGTAGCAATAATGAAGGGAGTTAATGTTTGGACGAATAAATCGCTGTAGATTAAGGTAATATGTATAACGATTTAAGGCGATCGATTTAGACGGTAAAAGTAATTTTCTGACATGTATGGAAACATATCGAATCTAGCTGCCTACTGTTCTAAAGGCGTCACTAAATGATTCAATCGGTAGTATTGACTACCTGTGTGTACAAAAGGCGGGGGACGTAATCAACACGTGGTTATGACTCGCATAATTGCCGTCTACAATTCATACCACGCAGGAGATTCAACTAATTCCTAAACCTGTTATTGCTCAATCTCGTGTGACTAAAAGCTGCTTGTCCCTATAAGAATTAATTGTACGCTTACAGTAAAAAGCGTACGATTACGACGCAAATTTCTGACTTTGGACATCTCGTAAATACGCCTATTTAGTTCTTTTATAGGAATTAACCAGACAAATCGCTTCACCAAATAAGAACAACCGTGCATCATCATCCACCGAATTAAGAAAAAGCCCTCAATCTGTCAATCCTTCCGGTATCTGGGCCTGAAGTCTCTCGTGTTGTGCACCCTTCTTCAGAAACAAGTTCGAAGTGCTTCTTAAGAAGGTTGCAACATAGCATGCGAAACGTCAGAGTTTTCAAAAGACGCATAGTTTAACCAGAAAGTTTCTACTTCTTGGTCTAGTGTTAGTTCTAGTTTTAACTTCTTTCTTTACAGCATCCTTTACAATATTAATTAAACATTTGTCCATGCTTCGATTACTTTTTCTTAACATGTTAATAACAACTTTAAAAACATATAGGAAATTTTATGTAGCACTTCCTACTAAATCCTTATAAACGTTGTGACGTGTCGTTTCAACCATGAACCTATTATTACAAATATTGTAATGAACACTAAATATTATAATATAAAAATGCATTAAAGTAGTAATGTATTAAAATATTTATTTACGTTTAATCGTGAATACAGAAAAATAAAATATAGAGAGAAGTGGAGGCACATTGACACATATATTTTTGTTGACAAAACTGTTATTATTATCTCGACGCCACTAGAAATATAGGTCAGTTTAGTCACATTACGACACAAATAGCATTCCTTGGCAATGGAAGAGATATCAATGTGCCTTACCCTTCCCTAACAACGTATTTTTATAAAAAGCGTGTGGGCCCGTTTATATATTTCTTAATTTTAACATTTTTAAAAATCTGACAATGTAAACATTTTAATATTCTCCAATAAGAGCCAATAAACATTTTTTGTAATCTCCAGAAGTGTCACCTTTGATAGCTTCAGCTAAACTTTCCCCATATTTGGCTTCATAAATACCCTTTATGTCTTCCATATCGATCTCACATCTGGTAACAACAACCCTCATCAATTTATTATCTTTGGTTCCAATTCCGGATATAGCATCATGTAAGGTTTTTGCGTAAAAATGAGGAATGTTCCTAATAGATCGAACAATGGCTAAAAACGCGTTTTCAGCATCCCCAGAAAACTCGCTCTTAATTGTGTCTTCAATATCAATTCCAGAAATCTTTTCATACTCGCTAAAAATCACGCGTAATTGGGCGTAATTTCTTTGACACAGAATCATATTAAACGTAGACTCATCAGTTCCCCATTGATTTTCGCCGGCCTCTAACAGTCGATTAGCATCTTGGACGGCAGCTTCATGGTCTACATGCATACTTTCGTCACGTCCAGCAGCTGAAAGAGACACCATGATTCTTTTGAATGTTCCGGATGTGTCTGAACGCAAATCATCTTCTAAACAATTTCCATATTCTGTTTCGTAAGCACTACGAATGCAACGAATTTCTTCGTTAGATTTCGTACACATAACTTCTATTAGTACTTCTTCGTCGGTTCCTATTCCGGTGATTGCATCACGAATATGCTGAGCATAAAGAATTGGAATGGGAGTCATCATTGAAGTTAATAGTTTCTTGAAGTTTCCACTTGTTTCACTTCGAAGATCTTTCACTAAATCCTATTTAAGAAAATAAAACGGATGCAAATCGTGATAGATATTTTTTGTGTGACATTATTACCTTTCCATACATAGTCTTGAATTGAACAGCAATTTCCATTCTTTGATCGTTAGTTCTTCTAGCCAAAACATTAATGATAGCTTTTTCATCAGTACCAAATCCTTTCATGGCTTTACGAAGTACTTCAGCATCTGCTGAGGAATCAAAAGGATCAGCAGGGAATAAAGTTGGAGTAACCTACAAAGAAAATTATCAGTGTAATGACGAACCAGAATAATTTATTTTCAAATAACATAAAAGATGTTAGTACGAAAGAAGATGATGAAAAATGAAAATATTGGACTTGGAATTTTGATTTAATTTCAATAAAATCTACCTGAATCTCAGGTTGTGGACTCCGTGGCGGTGAAGAGTAGTTAATATCCGTCGTTTCTGGTACTACCTGCGAATCCTGCGGATATGGATAAGAGGTTGGGGGAGGTGCCCCACCTGGATAAGGATATCCACTCGGTGGAGGTTGATGGGGATAGCCCATAGGAGGTGGATAATTACCACCCATCGGCGGATAACCTCCTTGAGGCGGCATATACATCGGAGAGTTTACATTAAATCCCATAGAGGGTGGAAAAACAGGTTGACGGTAATCTCCATGAGGAGGTGGCGCATAGTTTTGTCCTGGCATTGGAGGATGAGGTGAGGGGTAAGGAGGACCGCCGGGATATGGAGCCGAATTGTCGCCAGACCCCTAAAATCAATAATAAGTGAAAGTTACGAATAAAACAATAAAATTCTTTTAATGTTGTTGATAAAAAAATTTTTTTGAAAAATAAATGTTCATTTAGAGATAATATTTTGCATAAATTAATGTATAATATAAAATAAATATAAGTTTTAACGTTAAATAAATAAATATATAAATAGATAAGATCCTATTTTAAATATGTATTTATTTAAACAACCAAAACAATGAATTAAATTAATTTATTTTATTAACCCAAATATTGTAATATTTTATAAAAAATGGAAAATATTAACAAAAATAATTTTCGGGAGCATTTTTAAGAAGTGTTATTTCAATGAAATTACAATACAACATTTAGAGATCATTGCTCAGATAAAGAAATACAATTAATTGTATAACTCCACCAAATCTTAAATGTACAAAACTTGACTCCTGTTTCAAAGTAACGAGCTTGCGGTATTTCCACAACAATATTTTCTTTCGTATTTGAATGACTGCGTTGCTGGAAGGTTTACGAATATGATTAAACTCTGGGGAATATCTGGAAGCTTTGACTCACTGAATACAGGTGTTTATCTATTAAGTATTCTATTAGCAATTCACTTCTTTTGCTATTAATACAACTTCTTTAAAATTGTTGGTAAATGATTAATCTGTACACCGTTCCTTTAATGACTAGTTCAGAAACATAATAGTCGATGTTATTACATCTTCTTCTTGTATTATTAATTTTAGTTAATATATTGTACGTGAGATTATATTTAAAACCTTTAATAGCTTCAGTACTGCTATTCCGTGTAGTATCTCAAAATTTATTTTTAAATACAGGGTCATCCACGACGACCGTCCATTAGAACTGTATAGAGAACTAAATTAAGTGGGGGTTTGAAAATTTGCGGGCTTATGATGTTTGATGCGAGCTTAATAACTAAAATATTTCACAGTCGTATTTAGAGTTCAATTGTAGGTATACGGTATTTTATATAAAACTTTACAATGAATTTCGAAAATTATGAAAAATGTAACATGATGGAATGCTATATGTTATCAGATAAGAATACGACGTTAGCCGCGGAATTACACTTCACAAGGTATCCGGAAAGAAGACAACCGCACGCAAGAACCTTCAGCCGGTTAGCAGAAAAGTTAATGGATTTTTGGTCCTTCCCCAAACCACGTGCAAAAACATAACAAAATGACCTGCAAGAGGATGAAGTCAATGTATTGGCTTCAATTGCGATAAATCCATCAACATCTTACAGAGAAATTGAATACGACGTCTGACCCGAAAGCCGCTGCTCCCGAATATGAAAGAAAAATGAATATAAACCATACAAAGCGGGGCTAACTCTTTATTTACGTGCCGGAGATGTCAATCTAAGATTAGAATTTTGTAGATGATATTTAAAAAAATTAAATAATCTGCTGTTTGTTCAAAATGTCATCTGGACCGATGAAGTCTCTGAGTGTTCAAAGAAGATTCGGGTTCAATGTATGATGTGCCCTTTCAGATAATAAAATTTTGGCATATAGTATCTGCCATAAAAACTTAAACTCAGGTAAATACCTCAATATATTAAGGTAGCACATTGAGCCTTTGGTCGACAATTTGCCATTAAATATGTCTCAAATGATATATTTTCAATATGAAGGAGCACCAGCACATAATGCCAGAGTTGTTAGTGAATTTTTAAATACTACTACAAACTTTGGCAATAATTGGAAACAATGTTTTCCATCATGGTATGGTTATCATCATAACAACATTAACTTTTAAATACATACAATAGTTTTAGATAGAATAAAATGAATTTTTGTTAATTATTCAATAATTATAAGAAATATACCCCACAAACTATATATATTTGTTATCAGAAGAAAATGACAAATTATTTTAGGTCATAGCCAACTATGGTTTCCATTTAAAAAAATAAAGTTACGTCTAAAATCCCGAAAATAAAAGATGGGAAAAAAATTCTACCTACGCCACTGAATTCTTCGTAAAAAGTTGCCCTTATAATGTTTTATTTATAATACTCCATCTTTGATAATAAGTGAGATATTCGCGATTGTCGTTTTCGCAAGATTTTCAGTTGCGTATTATTATTTCAGTTAATGTATGCTGTTCAGAGTTTTCGGCATTAACATTTTCTCGAAAAACGAGATCATGACATGTAAGCCACTTTTTTTCTATCTTTTTTAGTTTCGGAGATAGCCTATGCGGACATCGAAATTGGGACACCCTGTACAGTCTAATTTACATAGATTGAAAGTATTGATAATTTTATTTATTTTTACAATTTCTTCAATTATGTCAATATTTATTTATTTTACAATTATTCGATTTAAATATTCTGCCATAACACTGTCAAACCGAACGATTGCTTCAAAGAATTAAAAAAAAATCCAATATATTTTCGAATACTATTCTATAATTCAAATCATCAGTAGTTTGCAAAGTAGTTAGCTTTTTTGTTATCGCTCTTTTTAAGTCAGTCCACAAATTATAGCTTTTATTATGAGACGCACTCTTTCCATGCCGTTCCAAGTTTCTGAATAAATATTGTTTCTGCGGGTCGTTATTATTATTATTATCATTATTATTGACTACTACTTATATCGTACTTATATCATTATTATTATCGTTGTTATTTAAAATTTGCTAAAAATATTTTATTGAAAATGATCTGTTGAAGTTTTATAACATTATGAACGGAACCCAAGATAATTTCAGTTCACCTGAAATCCGATATAAAGATGTATTAGGATATATGCCGAAATTAGCTCTCGGCTGATTATGGAATTTGCAATGCATTCAGTCTGAGTAAATTTGTCAATAAGATTTAGAACTTGCCCATGAGATGAAATGTCCATTTATCGATTTTTTTCAACCGATCCCAGTTTCATACAATATTCTAATATACACTTGGTTTTTTATACATGTTCTATAATTTCTATAATTTTAATAATTCTTTTAATAATAATTCTATTCTGAAATTACTCTCAAATTGTCATATGGAGAAGATAGACACTCTTGACAAATGCGGTGTTTATTCTATAGAATGTTTTTCGTTTAGGCTCTTGTATCCGGTTTTATTTTTCAGTTTCATAGTCGTTTTTCTCGTGCTCATGTCAAGTTTTGTTTCGTGCGTTTCGTTCTTTTTAAAGTGTTTTAAAATATTTTATCTATACAATTTTATTTATACACTGTGTTTTTAACTTTAATTGTTCACAATAACATACTTCATTATTGATTGATATATTTCAATATGTATTCTTTTCATATGTTTTGTTTTAATGACATCGTGGTTTCTTTTTAACTATTTGACATTAAGTTTATGATTGTAATACTTTTATTATGTTTTTCATTATATTTAATTGATCGTAATGTAATTATTTTTACGTAGATTCGGCTGATGATGCGCTAAGCTCGAAACCGGTTCCGAATAAATTGATATTAAGCATGTAAGAAGTTTTTTTATATAGTTTAAATTTTAAAATGATTATATTTACATAAAAACATGTTTTTCGATTGTAGTAAGGACAGGAATTTCACTCAGTATCGGAAATAGCTTCATATTTTAATGAAAATGAACATTTAAAAGATTTATTTGCAGAGTTTTTCAAAGTTCTAACATTATTTTTTACTATTCCGTTAACATCTTGTAGTTCTGAAAGAAGCTTTTCAAATTTACGCAGATTAAAACAATTTTTAAAAACAACCATGACGTCGAGTAGGTTAAACGACTGCATTATATTAAATGCAAACATATTTATTAAACGAAACAGTCAGAGGCGAAACACGTTTCTATTAGAAGATACCTATATTTTTTAAGTTGTCATAGTTAATTTTTATGAAAATAATTCTTCTGTTTAATGTTTAATATGTTTAAATAAATGTTTAAAATAAACTTGATTTTTTTTATCAGATTAGAAAATGTTTACCATGCGGCACCTATGTTTAACCACCCATACGTATTTTCAAAAACCGGCGCCTATGCTGCGACGGGTCTAAATATTTAAAATTTTGTATATATTATACATCTATAACAAATTTAATATCAAAAATTAATCTTTGTCTTTATAAAATATTTGAAACAATTGATTGCCATGGTTACGCATGGCTAGTGCTATTTTTCTATCTCACTTCAATGGGAAATTATGAAATTTTAAGGTTAGTATCGGCTGTACCAAATTAAAAAAAAATCCATATTAAAAAGTCTTTAGACTCGTCTCAGCGATTTTTCCATAAACTGTTTTTAATTGTTTTAAGAAATTTATCCGTTACTTTTGGGATGACTAACGCAAAGCTTCTTATATCTTCATCGATAAGTAAATTGGCAACATCCACCATACTATCAATAGCATTCGACATTGACGAGACTAATGTGATAATCTCGTTTTAGTCGAAGCGGTTTAAAAAGTCATAAGTTCCTTTCAACAAACTTAATGCAACAAGAATAAGGTAAAGTCATTCAAAAAGTTTTTTTATCTTTAGTTTGTGTAGTTCCTGTTATAAATAAAATTGTGCAATAAATTACCTCTCGACGAATAATTGTAATTGTTGCCAAACCTTATACATTAAAGACATCATATTCCCGCTATGTTTTTACTATAAAAAAACAGTAAATATTTAAACAAAAGTAATTATTTTTATCTGCTAAGTATAGAAGATAAATATGATTTAAATTGTTTTTATACAGTGTCTCCCCATCTATCTCACATATATTTTTCTATTTTACATATGATCGATTAATAATAATCTAATAATTCTTATTTATAATGGCTAACAATACTGTTATCAGCTCATAACAAAAATCAACAATAAAACTAATACGCATATTCCCGTAATTCAGTACTAGGAAAATACATCAATGTTGCTCTAAAAGGAAGCCATAACAATGTAAAACCCAAATATATTCATTGTTAAATAGTTTCAAGGATTAATGAACTTTTAATTGAGGTTTTAATTGAAACGGGTGTTATTTATTGGAATTTACATGAGCTCATGTGCCGATGTAAATCAATATCGATGATATCGATCACGAAATGGATTTAGATAAAAATAAAAAAATAATCCTTATTAATAATGAAGGAAAATATTGGTAGTTTGTAACACTTACGTAAGGGTAACCCGGATAACTCATCGTTGTTGGGGAAAACCTGTAAACAACAAAATTAGAGTAAATAACGTTAAGGAAGTAGGAAGTAACTAAGTTAAGTTAAGGGAGTCGTGTTACGTTGAGGTTATCGTCCTCAAAAATTCCTTGAACTTGTTATATGAATGTATTATTAATATATTATCAAAATAAGTAATCAACAATATATAAAGCTGAAATCCTTAACATTATTAAAAATTTTCGTTGATAACTTTTAGTAATAACGCGATTATAATAAAGAAATTTATCAATAAAGTCTTTTTGGTATGTTGAGATTTAATTAGAAACTTACGTAAAGTTTTGTTATTACAAAAATGACAAGGAAAGTGATTACTTTTATTACCTACACAACACTTTACTGAATACTGTAAGCAACTAAAACGACTAAAACGGTTTGGGTTTGGTTCAACTTCAACCGGCTGATCGGCTGATGTATTTCCCCAACATGTGACTGAACCTGCGCAATTCAATCCATCGAAATTAGCGCCGCATTTTAGAACTATATCTTTGAATGACCAAAAACAACATTCGTTGTCAAATCCACATAATATTGTAATCTTTAGGAATTATGGATAAGATAATCAAAATCATATACTTAATAAATTATAAACACTTTTGTACACACCTTAAAAACGGAATTTAAACAATACCGTTACACTCGTTGTTCTTTCCAAATGTAGCAATAAAAACCTAGAAATTAAATTTAGTTTTGAACGTGTATACTGTTTAGAATACAATAACCTTGACGCGAGAGTTCGAAACTTTTACCACGTGATAACAAGAATTAAATGCGTAATACTAGATTTGTACCGGTTTGTTTTAATGACTATGTATATTGATTGTGAGTTCTCAATACCATTTGGATTCCCAAAAAGTCTAATTTAAACTTTTTATTTAGACTGGTTATAAAAACCGCTAATACAATCAGTGATAGGCAAATGATGAAAAAAGTGATGGGTAAATACCCGGCGGGTAGGTATTTCTAAAATGGGTATTTATCCGAGTATTTACACCGGCCCAGGGTAAATACCCAAACAGTGGGTATAAAAGTGATACCAGTAAACATATATCAGATTCCAAAAAAAATGAAGAGGAAGATGATGAGGACGTTGAAGACGAGGAATTGTCAACATTCAAAGACGTATTATCAACGAATTCAACGTTGTAGAATCAACATTCAAACGAATCTGTCGTAATTTAGATTAGATCAAGTTATTATGATTATTATCATCAAGCAGCCCTCTGCGTCCATTGTTGGACGTCTCTCCTATTCTGTTCCATTCGATTCTATTCTGTGCTGTCTAAAATAGTCTGAATCCAATTGTTGGTCATTCTTTTGACGTCTATTTAGTCTGTTCGCTCGCGGTCTCCATTTAGCAACCGTTTTGTCCACTGCTCATTCTTCATTCGCGCGACATGACCCGCCCAGTTCCACTTAAGCTATATTATATATATCGCTATATTATATATACTATATAGCTATTATACATAGCTGTCAACCCTCTCAATCTCATTATCCCCAATATTGATGTTAGAGTTGGGAACAAGATTTGTCATAAATTTTGATTTCTCCACGTTGATATTTAGCCCGACTCTTGCACACACCTTCTTTAAGTCGTTCAGCATTAGTTTAATCTCTCCAAGGCTATCCGATATAAGAACTATATCGTCCGCGTAGCGCAAATTACTTAAGCATTTGCAATCAATGTTTATACCTTTTTGGGTGCAAACCAGTTGTTTAAATGCACTCTTGCGTGACTCTCATAACGAAGCCAAGCATGCGCAAAGCCTTAGCAACAGCTCCATCAACGTGGCCCTCAAACGTTAGTTTGACATCAAATGTGACGCCCAAATCCCTGATCTGAGTCACTCTAGGTATGGTATCATCACCTAGGCTATAATCGTATCTGATCGTGCCTGCCTTCCTTGTAAAAGAAATAACATTACATTTTTCAGGGTTGAGTGTCAAGAAATTTGAGCTGCAATAAGCAGGTGAAGAAACTCGTGTAAAAATTTTTAAATCGTCAGCATACATTAAGCAATGAGAGTGTTTAATTATTGAAAAAATATCATTGATATAAATATTAAATAGAAGTTAATAGAAATTTTGACATACAATCGAAGTGAGAGACCTCTTCAAGGAAAAACGTTGCATGAGACGGCGATGGCAGCAGTTGCGTGATCCAGCAGACAAAATCACCCTTAACAACAAATCAAGAAATTCGAACATTGAAAGAAGAATCAATTCCAATTTATCTCAAAGACCTAACAGTTGACAAGGACAAATCCGCCGCATTAAAAACACTTCCACAGTAAAAATCATCAGCTATGCAAAAATCAGAAGCATTTGCCAACCATCGAGCAGATATCAGACCATATTCAGACCACATGATGAAGTATCACCATATGCATGGCCACATCTTTCTGCGAGTATTAATACAGACAATAAGAGCATAGACTTAGATATAATCTTATCACAGACAAAGTATTCAAATAACTTCTAAAATCAATCATAATTAGACGACAACTGATTCTGTCGATTCCATAATCGATCAGGTTCACAAGATTACAGATCAGATCAAAAAAACCTTAGAAAACAAGCTTTACTGTTGATTTTCGGAATATAGAAATTTCAAAGACATCAGTGCAGGTGCTCCATAGGGTAACGTTTTGGAACAATCCTTATACCTGCTTTACATACGTGTCTTTCCCTAACACTACGACGTATTAGCAACGTTCACCGATGATACGACAATACTTGGTACTGGATTAGCAGTACAGGAACAAACTAGTAAGTTGCAGAATTTCACGTGTTGTAAAATGGACGAAACGTCTCTAGTGCACGTAAATGGCGTTATAGTAGAAGACCACCTTCATCGACACACCAAAGTGAATATTCAACAGTTACTTGACAATACTAACCTTTATTTTTAGAAGCATTGCGAGTACAATAGCTTCGCATATTAGCTTGTAAAAAACCATTTTGATTGAAAAACTTGCATAAGAATGAGATGTAAGTTAGTTGGTTTTGTAAGTTTTAATGCATCGCATCATATTGGTGGCAAAAAGATTTTGTCATCAGGAATATTAAAAATTAACCATAGAAGTGATATGATCAACAAGCATAAGATCATTATTATAAGTAAAGTGAGGTATTAAGATATCTAGCAGACCTACAAACTGCCTAAATCTAGAGACCCCTTACCAAATGTAACCTTGTAAAAACCTTTGCGGTGTGATTGCAAGTTTATTTTACCACCCTATCCGTTTGCTTCTGGTGCTTGGTGAGGTATTCGAAAAAAAATGCAGCAAGTTAAACTCCATCCTTATCTGAAAAATGTAATACCAAATTATCATTCTGACTTTGGAGAAGACCACGAAACTATTGAAAAGGTTATATAAATCGTCAAAACAGTGAGACAAGTATTCAAGAAGAAAGCTACTGCGGCTTTCTGTTTGCTTTCGATAAAGTCTAGCATTATGATTTATTCACCAAACTTAAAAAGCAACTACCTCACCAATACTGTTCCCTACCGCGATAATTTTTGGAAGAGAGGTTCTTCTTTGTCTGACAGGAAGGTTAACCCAAACTTTTACCCATACAAGCTGAAGTCCCACAGGGCAGCGTGTTGGCGTTTCAGCGTTCCGACATTATACCTTATATGTATACTGCAGACATACCAAGCAAAATTTACACCATCACAGCCATTACGTTGACGATACTGTTATCGTGACTTCACATAGGGATCCCCAAACTGCTTCTTACCATCTTTAAAAGCACTTACTCAAACTGGGTGAATGGATTAAACGAGGGATGTGTCCACAAGTAAAACTAGACAATGTTCCTCTCCCAATTCAAACTAATTACTCTTTTCATTTAGACAACCATTTAACATGAGGAAAACACAATTGGACCAAGACGGTTGAATTGGGACTCGTATATAGAAAAATGTATTGGTATGATAAGATAAATTGTTTCTGGATCACTCCATCCTGAATCCTGTGTCTGTTTTGTTAGTTGTCCAATAGAAAGAAACGCATAAGAAGTTATTCCTGGTCTAACATTTAGCAATGTTATTCAAGAATACTCTAAATTGATATAGTTAATTTCATTCATTCTTTATCTAGCTGTGTATTGCAAAGTTGGATGGACTAATCCGCCTAACTATGCAAGGTGAAGAAATTTCTTTCTCAAAAGAAGTCAAATATCTAGGAGTAATCCTAGACAAAATCCTCTCATGCAATGGACATTTGGAGAGAGTTTTACACAAAACTAGACTGTCCTTGTGGACTTGTTGTAGTCTTTGTGTAAAAAAATCGGGTCTTACCCATGAAAGACTGCACCTGACTGTGGTTAGATCACATATGGAGCAGCAACCTGGTATAGGAAGACTGCAGTTATCAGTAAACTTTTACGAATTCAACGTGTAGCTGGATTGGCAATCTCTGGTGTGATAGGCACAACGCCAACTCTAGCAATGGATGTTCTGCTTGGCCTATCTCCTTTGCATTTGCATATAGAGAAAGTGGCTAGAACTAGCATTTACAGATTACAGTAATATGCTCCAAACTGTTGCGACAAGTCCTACCAAGGAGCTGTGAAAGACATTATAAGCACTGTGTTATCAATGCCGTCAGATTTGGCGGGATCACTATCAGTGACTAACGCTCGACACCAGATTGTATTGCCTGGACGGTAGTCCAGGCAATACAATCTGCATGTTCACAGATGGTATTTGATAGATGTATTTGGTATTTGACAGATGATATTTGCATGTTCACAGATGGATCAAAAACATACATATTAAGCAAGCTTACAGCATGGGTACGTCCTGTACTGTATTCCAGGCGGATGTATTTGCTATTGAAATGGGTGCTAAAATCCTTCTTGAGAGAGGGGTAAAAAACATGACAGTACGATTTTTCTCAGACAGTCAAGCCGGTGTCGGTTCTGGTTAATGACTGTAAAAGAACATTAAACACACTGAGTTGTGATAACGGAGTTTCTCTGATCTGGGTCCCAGGTCGCTCTGGGGTTGCTGGCAATGAAGCGGCAGATGAGCTATCACGAGAGGATAGCGTTAAAGCGTTTGTGGGGCCAGAACCAGCAGTTGATGTATCATATGCTATGGCCAAACATAGGATTGGACTGTGGGCTGAAGAGAGACCTCGCCTACTGTGGACCAGTTCTCCTGGAATGAGACATGCTAAGGTGTTTATTAACATCGGCACTGTCAAACCCGGGAATATTTTAGGACTTGCTCGTAGCAACACTCAAGTTCTAATGGGTGTCTTTACTGTCGATTAAAAATGCAGCTCAACTTGTTGGGTCTAGCTGACGATGTTGAATGTCGGCTATGTGCGGAGGACGAGGAGACGGTTGAGCATGTTTTATGCTACTAGCCTGCTGTTAATCGTATCAGATTCTCGATTTACGGGTCGCATTTTATCTCCCTAAAGGATCTGAATGATTTTTCACCGAGCAAGGTATTAAGGTTCGTTAAGAACATTTTACTGCACTATGAAATTTGATAACGTTATTTATCGGGGTACAACAGATCCCTAGGGTCGCGGTGTACGGTTGGTTGGTCCGCCTACCCGATATGTAATCTAAGTAATGTAATGTAATATCTACTGCACTTCTGTATGTTCAAAATTTTTCTTATTGTATTCCCGTTATCGGTATTACCAAACCTGAGAATGACCAAACCTTTGTTACCTTTTTTATGTTGACGCTTTAGTAACTTATGAAGCACATACATACAAAGAAATTGTATAACTAGAAGCACATATAAAAGTTGAAGCCAGCATTCGATGTGTTTTGTTTACGTTTTCACTCAGTCCAGATCGGACCGTCAGGCCGACGATCACCGAGTATTCCCGAACAGTCCAATCTTTTCTATGATTTCTTTGAAAATAAATTTACCTGATTAATGTTTATCCATGTTTACCGAACCCTAATAAAAGAACAACTCTCTCCTAAGTAAACAAGGCTTGTGTGCACATTTGTGTTTTGACTTTGGCGAAGTTAACATTTTAGTAATACCGTATTTTTCGGGCTATAAGACGCACATTTTTACATAGAAAAATGGACTCAAATGTTGGGTGCGTTTTATGACCGGAGGTAACATTGAAATATTTTTTTCAATAAATTCTCTCTTAATTTGAGGCGTGTCTTATTGTAAATATACCGTATTTTTTTTAAAAAGATTTCAGTTTTCCTAAAGATAGAAAAAAAAATTATTTGTCACAAAACCATTTAGAGATTTTTTAGTGCAGTTAGGTGACGCGGTAGGTATTCTACAATTCGAACAAGAATATAAAAAACTATTAGAACATACCGGCAGTAAAGGGGCAGAATCTAGAAATGCAATTGCATTGATTAGATCATATTAATATTTAACGTCCGTATCCAGCCAAGTAAAATAAATAAAACAAATTTTAAATTATCTTTGTTAATATCAATCATTTCTAGGAATGCGTATTTTTCCAAAATATTTTATCTCCATAAACAAAGCAACACAATGTAAATGATGTAAACCAACGAATTACTACCTCCAAAATCATTATAAGTCTGATTGAATGTGATCTGATGAACCATGAAGTCCTCATTTTGTAGGTATACAAAGTTACATCATGTTTTTAAAGTGTCTATATAGCAAATACTATTGTTATAAATACATGATTAACATTGTGGTAATTCATACTTTGCGAAGAAGTTGCTGCAATATTTAAAAACGGTTGAAATAGATCAAATTTAAATAATTTTAAGCTGAGACAATTTTTGTTTGTCACAACTAAAACCACACTATATCTTTTGTAACTTCCAAATTTGCACATTTAGTGTTTAATGTTTGGATAGGTATTTGGACAAAGAAGTGAAATTTTGTTAAAATAATTCTATAGATTCCATACCTTTATTGTCATAGTCTCATGAATCATGTAAAATACACAACTTATAGAAAATAAAGCACTTTCAACTATGCAATGATTAAAAAATGTTGAGTCATTTTATATTAATAATAATAATAATACCCTGGGTGATGTAATTTATCCAACAATTTCTAATAAACATTTTTTATAATCCCCTGAAGTATCATCCTACAATAAAAGCAATTTTAATAATTAATTCTAGGCTCACTATTTAGACGTTTATATTTACCCTAATAAAATCAGCTAAAGACTTTCCATATTTTTCCTCAAACACTTCTTTAATATCCCCCAAATCAATTTCTGACCTTGATACAACCAAACGAATCAAAGTACGATCATCAGTTCCGATTCGATCCATACTTTTATGGAGTCTTTCGGCAATGTATCCAATCCTATCCCTAATACATTTAATTAAATCCATAAGTGTATCTTTAGCTGTTCCTGAAAATTCGTTATCGATGGCAGTTTCAAAACAATGATCTGTAAGTTTTTCGTATTCATCAAAAATGAGGCGAAGTTGCGATCGGTTTCTTTGGCATAAAATGGCATTAAAAGTGGATTCATCAGTTCCATGGAATAGTTCACCAGCACGTAGTAAAGTTTGTGCATCTTTGTAAGCAGTTTCTTTATCAGTTGCTTCGGATTCATCTCTATGACCCTTTTTAAAAGAGAAATGTTATAACTTTTACATTTACTAGTAATTTTTTATAAAATGACTAATAATTAAAAGTAAAAACTCATTATGTAATAATGATAATAGACTGGTTGACCTTAAGATAAATGTTTTTAAATCCCTTCACAAATGAAAAAAACTTACTGTTGCCAATGACACAAACAGTCTTTTAACTGTTCCTGATGTATCACCTTTTAAATCTTTTTCAAGCGAAGTTTGATACACTATAAAAATTAATAATATGAATCAGTACCAAAAATAAACTTTCCTATTTCAAATAAAATTGGACTTTCAACTTGAACTTACAGCCTTCGTAAACCTCTCTAATTGCAATAACTTCATTATTATTATGAACACCCAAAATTTCAACAATGGTATCTTCATCAGTACCCAATCCACTGATGGATTTATGAAGCTGCTTAGCTTGAAACTCCACAGGATTCGTCATCAAAGCAATAATAACATCTTCAAAATTCCCCCTTAACTCACTTTTCAATTCTTTAATCAAATCTTTTCCATACATAGTTTTAAATTCTTTAGCAATCTGTTGACGCTGATCATTAGTTCTTTTAGCGATAATGTTAATGATGGCTTCTTCATCGGAACCGAAACCTTTAAACGCTTGTTTTAGCGCTTTCGAATCTTCGACGGGATCGAATGGGGAGCAAGGAGTTACCGTTGGCTATTGTGTTAAAAAATATAGTAAGAAATGCATTTTTTAACAAATAAATTTTAAGTTTTGTACTTACTTTGCCCATTTTTTTCGTGAAGTGGAAAATGTTGAAATGTATCACACTCTTAACCGATATTTACTGATTGTGAGTGTTGCTCGTGCGGTCGACTGAAGCCGGCATTCTAATTTAGGAGGCAACGCAGGCGCACCTAACACTACCGGTTCTTACAAAAACTGTGGTGAGTCGCCAACCAAAAGGTTGTTCAACTTGATTCAACTTTAAGGGATTTGTATTGGATTTTGTTTTTAAAATTTAGTTTTTAAATGATTTATTAATTGAATGTTTAGAATATTTTAAGATAAAACGTTAAACATGGCTTAAACCTGTATTTAAGGTATTAACTAAACGTATTACTTGTTTAACTTTAGATATGGAAGATAAGAAAAGTCCTTGAAAATCATTTAAAACATGAAGGTTGATTGATGTTAACAGGAAAAATAATACAGGGTGTTTCAGGTTTTTGTAGCAGGACTTTAACAGTCGATAGATCTTTTAAAATTAGCACAAAAACTTTATATAAACATAAGTCGACAAACGCTTTGTTTTAAAGATACCGGGTGTTTAATATTACGCGTGTAATTCAACCGATTCTATTCAAATTTGGTATACGGAGGTTTTTTGGCATGAGAAAGACGATTATGGAGTCCGTTTTACTATAGTCGGTAGAGTATTCTTTACGGATTAAAATAACAATAACTTTTCTGACAGTATACTTTTTGGATTTTTGAATAAAAATTCTTATTCTCGGTACTTTTTTAAGCAAAAACGATACTCTTATCAAATGCACTAAAGTCGATCGTTTTCAAGATAATCCGCTTTTTATTATTCGATATAGACCAATTTTTTTAGAGGATTGTTAACCCTTAACTGGTCCGGTGACTCATTTGTCGCACTAACAGTCAGGCGTAGTCTCCAGGACTGCTTAACTTAATAGGTTAATAAAACTGCAAATGTGCAAATAAACTCAATATTTTAGATGAGTTTTAATTTTAATTATAGATATTGAAACTTGTCTGCATAGAAATGAACCTAACTAAAGCAATATATAAAAAGAGTTTACCTAGATTATAATGTTTTCCGAAAAGTTAATTAAATCTAGTTTTATAGTAAGTACTTAATTATTATAAAAACTTAACAAACTTTCGTTTATATTATTAGTTATGTTAGGTATTAGACAAACTAAAAAATAAAGGAAAAATAAATTTGACAAAAACATCATATTCCAACAAGGGCCAAAATTACTTATTTTTCAACGCAGTCATTGCAGACTGGTTTTGTACAGGATGTCCAAATTTCGATGGGTTTGAAGGGTATCTCAGTTATTATGAAAGATAAAAAGTTGCGGCTTTCGCGAACCTGAGCTACTTTTTTGTGAAACTTACAATGGCCAAATTGTACCAAATTTTCATAGCCCTCTTCGTTTTTGATATACAGGAGTGTTTCAAAATTTACGACTTTCAGACACCGCGTAGTTCGCGTGGGATAGCCGACATCGTCAAACGCCGTCTCATGTGATCCTCTACCAATTGCTTGGCTAGCTGCATTCCAAAAATACTTTTTTCTTTAATGGTCGGATTATCTCTATAACATTGGTGTAAGATATATGAATTGATCACAGAAATGTCTAGTAGGCGAAAAAAAAATGCTAAAGACCATCTTCGAGTGCAACGACTTGAGGTGCTTTTCGAACATTTTTCGTCCAGAGAATCTACTCCGCCTTTATTTTCATTGTAGTAGGAAACTATTTCGGGTTTCTGTACTAATGAATCATCAAATCGTCTATTATGCATGAATGATTTTACCAACATATGAAATCAACGTGCATTCTTCCCTGAATCCATACAATGTTGAGTTAGCTGCTCTTTTCTTATTGAGTTGAAAAGATGGTGGTATTTCGGCCTTATTTTTTTTAGTGTACCGACGTACGTCAAATTATTTTTCCATAACAGATCAACTGCTTGTATGGAAGAATTACAATTGTCAGCTGTAATATTACGATTGCTGTTAAAAATTGGCTTCGCTAAACGTAACACAGCTTGAGTAGGCTTTAGTAACCTCTTCTCTTCACCATTGAGGCCAAAACTATCAGAATCTTTTCCCGTATAGATGTATGTGTTATATAGATGACTGTTTCGTGCGTCTGGTAAGGCACTGTATTTTGAAGCCGTACTTTGCCAGTTTATTAGGTATATACACTTTGAAGCGGCACCTTCCTCGGAAGCTTACAAGCATTTCATCTATAGTAACAGACTGTCCAAGTCCATAAACATTTTGACAATTTTCTACAAATGTGTTGAAAATAAATGAAATTGCTGCAGCCGGATCGTTCTTTTTCCGCTCTTCCCTGTCCTGAGAATTGTCGAATCGTATAGCCGTCAAAAGAACAGCAAATCTCTTCTTACTCATGACTGCTCTGAATATTTCTCTTCCACTTCCGTCCGTTGCGAATATATGGTCTATATTTTCATGATTCGAATTGAATATCGCCGTATATACTAGAAGCCCCAAAAATGCCTTCAGCTCAGTGATATCTGCGTCTGTTACATGATGTCTGGATTATACAGAATATCTCTCGAGTGCGGGAAGTTAGCCCCCCATTTTTTGATTTTTAAATTTTTTATTGTTGTTCTAGATTGTTCTAGAGTTGTTCTACATTGTTCCAAAGCGGCAAATCGAAAAAATAAAAACTCCGCGAGAAAACCGAAAAAACGGGTTTTTTGGCTAGCCCCCCATTTTTGGAAANACTAAAAACTGCAATAATTGTTTAAACGTTACTTTCCATAAAAACATAATTTTACCAATCGACACTGACATCGTAACAATATTTGGCTATAAATAATAATAAAGCAAGTAATAGAAAACTACATGCAAACCCTAAGCAACAATTGCAAAAAATGTGGTCTGTTTGTAGAAACAACGAATGGAGAAAACAATAAAACAAAATTGAGTGATTACGCACGCAATTTGTCTTTGAATCTTTGAAAACTTTGAATGATGTAGGACACTACCCGGACTACTACATTTGTGCCCAACAATGCCAATTGGATATTATTTAATGACTTACGAAAAAAAGCGTACAGGTTGAAAAAGCTACTGAATTAAATGCACAAATGTGCATATATGTTTATAAATGAGCAAAGTGATGTAACCGTATTATTCCATGATATTAGTTTATTTACATAATTTAGTTTATGTAGTTATAGTTTACCTTAGAATAAGTTATTGTACTGATATAGTAATACTGATCGAATAGTTATTGTTTTATTTGTTAGTTTAGTTTATTTATTAATTTATTACTTAGTTTATACAAAATAAAATACACTTTAAATCGCATCTTATGTTTTACTATTATAAGTTTAAAGAGAAAGGTAAAACTTGTGATTTTTAGAAAATTATAATGGTCAGATTATTCCATATTTTTTTAGTTTTTTAAAACTATTATTATATTAAAGATTGGGTTCACTGATTCAACAAAACTCGTCCGATATCACAACAACTGAGATTTAAGGTTTTTCTAATGAAAATAACAGCTGTTCTGAATTGTTTTAATTGTTGTAAGTACTAATTTTTAATATGAAAGTTTAAAAGAACTAATGCCGCAGTGATTAAATAAATAAACATTTTAAGTACCTAGAACAACAAGAACAATTTAGAGCAACAAAAAATATGTGATTTTACAAAATTAATGTCCGTGTTAAACAAAAAACACATGTAGAACAATTTGAATCGGCAAAGTTTCAGTTATTTTAGATTGTTCTATGTTTTTTAATTCTTATTGTGTAATATAAAACCGCTGACACAAGAATTACTGACTGAAACTTCCAAAAACTTTAATTTTCAAAGAGTAAAGTGCCCTTTAGAGAGTTGTTCTAGTGAAAATAATAGCTGTTCCAGATTGCGTTAGCTATAATAAGTATATATTTGTAATATGGAATTGATAATAGAAAAACTATGGTCACAGCAATCAACTAGACATTTCGGCGGCCAAACCTATTTTTAGTTATAACTTCGTAATGCTGTATCCCATAATTTTGATTTTCTAGAACAATAACTAGAACAACTAGAACAACCCAGAACAACAAAGAAAATTTGATTTTTCCAAAAATGGGGGGCTAGTCAAAAAACCTGTTTTTTCGGTTTTCTCGCGGAGTTTTTATTTTTTCGATTTGCCGCTTTGGAACAATGTAGAACAACTCTAGAACAATCTAGAACAACAATAAAAAAATTTAAAATCAAAAAATGGGGGGCTAACTTCCCGCACTCTTATGGAGTCCGTTTTACTATTTACTAGCCGGTAGAGTATTCTTTACGGATTAAAATAACAATAACTTTTCTGACAGTATACTTTTTGGCTTATTGAATAAAAATTCTTATTCTCGGTACTTTTTTAAGCAAAAACCGAGGGGTAATTCGCTGGTCAATATTTGTACACCATTTCCTACACTTCTTTATAATACCGGTAATATTCGTGCGTGTTCTTACAATACCTAAATTTCTTAATTTTTAGTTAATTCCTTATAATTTTGCAATATCTTCCCCAATTCCTCTACAATTTCTGTTAATACCTATACCCTTACCTCATCATCTAAATAGGCGTCTCTATGTACAGGGATGGTTCAAATTCGATGTCCGAATAGGCTAACTCGGAAACTACAATAAGAGTTAGAACTTAAAAATCCTGTTTTTTAAGATCGATTACGAAAATTACGAAGAGGTTAACATGTTAGAATGTTACATATTAGAAAATAAAGTAAATTTTATATAAATTTTTAGTTATAGTCCCGTAATTTACAGAAAACTGTAAATTTAATTTCTTTGACGACACTAAAAAAAGTTTATTTTTAGCTTTATTCTAAAACAATAAGAAATAGACCTATCTAACCCCATATTTTTGTAATCAGAAAAAAATATCGAATTTGTCCACATAAATTGTGAAAAAGTGTCCACATAATGTCTTAGTAATAACTCCACCTATAATAATAAAAAAGATAATTGAATTTGTTGGTTTTACGATATTTTCAATTTTGACCTTTAGGGCAAAAATAAAAGTCGATAGCGCTTTGAGGTTTTCGGCATTAGCAGTTTCTCGAAAAACGAGATTATGCATGCAAGCTACTTTTTTTCTAACTCTTATAGTTTCCGAGATAGCCTAT